TAGGTATAGCCATTGTGGGATTATTTAGTACCCCCTGTTCATTTAATATTTAGTGAAGATTGTGAGAGACAGTTTTTCACCAGAAAACAGAAAGTTCCAGAGAAGACAGTTACTATTACCCTCTGGGAGTTTCCTTCTGCCCAAGGGAAATCAGGTCATGGCCCCAGCATGGGCATGGTGTTGTCAGGCAGGAGCAGACACTGTAACAGGTGCACACGCAGCACCTGTTTGAGAGGGAAACACTCTTGAACAAGGAAGAGCAGAATGTACATAGGACAGTCAGAGGAAGAGCGGGTCCTGTGGGTGTACAGGTGATGGGAAACGCTGGACTCTAGCCCTGCAGTTCGAACTAGGCTAGACTAAGACCTTGCAGCTGTACAGAGGAGGACTTGGACTGCCAGATTTGGCATTCTGCTTCCACTCTTTAGGCACATGTTGGTGCCCCACCCCACACACATACACAGCCAAGCTGTAGCCTTTGGCTATAGTGTTTTAGAGCTAGAACTGTGCCAGTACTGAAAAGTCTACCATCTACTTCCCTTTCTTTCCTTTCATGGTTTACCTGGCCTGCCAAGGGTTTTTGATTCCTGGTAAGCAGGCAGGGCTTGAAACAGAAGAATTGCTGTATCAAATCTTACATGTCATGTGAGAGACTTTGCTTGTACATTTTATAATCTTTTCCCCACCTGACTTAACAGTGAGATTTTAGGATGCAGGGTAGATAGGAAATAGGAAGAACATGAGGAAGTCAGCTGTGGTAACTAGGAACCATGCCCAGTATGGACTCAGACCTGAGCTTGAACCTGAGTTCTGTATACTGAGTGTGTGACCTGAAACATATTCACTACAAGGTTCATATTCCCAACTGGTTATGGGAATAGTGGTGGTCAGTGAACACAGCAGGCCCTTGGAAAGAGGAGAGAATATGTTTGAAAGTGGGTGTTACTGCCCGGGGTTGGACAGACTCAGTCAGTGTTTGTTAAATAAATGAACATCCTAATCACACTTGGATTTTTTCTCTGTGCTTTTTAAGTGCCCTAGAGCACCTTTCTGAACTGCATTAGTACTACTAGTCAGGACCCTGTGGGAAGCTGGACTAACCTCTGTCCCACATCTCCAGACAGACCTGGTATGTGTAAGGATGCTGATCATCTTCAGTGCTTCCTGTGCATAGACTTGTGAGGAGCACTGTGCAGGCCTCCTGGGCAGCTCCTGGGGCATCTGAAAAGAGAAGCATGCATGTACCAGCTAAGTCAGCATTTACAGCATGCCACATGGGAGGTGTGCAGAGGTCCTTTTAAATGCACAGCCAAGTGAAAAGTAGCCTGAGTTGGTCTACAGAAAATGTTGTGGAGAACTGAAAGTTCAGCAGATCTGTCTTGCAAAGGCAAGAATGGAGGCCTGAGTGAGCAGTAGTCATGGGACAGAAACAGGCCACTGCTGGCTAATCATTCTCTCCCTCTCAGAACACTTGTTCCCAAGACTGTGACCTGAGTTTGAATTATTAACTCCCCACTGACATATAGGTGTTCTAGAGCAGGGTTGGTTCAGTTTCTAGTACTAGAGATGGAACCAGGGCCTGGAGGATCCCAGACAAGGGCTCCTGTGCCTAAGCTACACCAGCAGCCCCAGTAGGCTTGTTATTAAACCTGAAGTCAGCCCTATCAAAGTAAGAATTTCACAGTCCTTTGCTTCTTGCTCATCTGTGGGAGCACCCACAAAGAGGGTGGGGACCCATGTAGGTGTAAATAATTGTCCAAATCATCTCTGTGTTGCTCCCACAAGTTCTGTTTATATACCTGCAGCTTTGGCCTCAGGATCTATCCCTACAACACCTGAGAAAAGAAATGACTGTCAGTGAGTGTAGATACAGTATACTAAAGAATTGCCGCTTATTGAGCTCCTGAAGTACACTGTTTGGTAGAGTCTGCACTTTCCTTAGGCATCGCCTGTGCCTAACATCATAAGTCACTACAGTTAGAAGAAGAAGCAGGCGCTTGTAAGAGACCCTCCCCTCCATGAGAGTTAGCGTGGTAGAGTTAGCGTGGCAGAGTTAGCGTGGCAGAGTTAGCGTGGCAGAGTTAGCGTGGCAGAGTTAGCGTGGCAGAGTTAGCGTGGCAGAGTTAGCGTGGCAGAGTTAGGGTGGCAGAGTTAGCGTGGTAGTGTTAGCATGGTAGAGTTAGCATGGTAGTGGCTGTGAGATCCTAAAACCAAAGTTGTGAGTTGGTTATGGTGGCTCATGCCTGTCATCCCAGTATTCTGAGTATGGAGGCAGGAAGACCACTAGTTCAAGGCCATCCTGAGCTGTATAGCTAGACCTTGTTTTAGCACACACCCCTCCCAGCAAAATTAGAAACAAGTTTTGGAATTCGAAGTTCAGAGTCTCCCCGTGGCTATGCTCTACTGTGTGGGAAAGTGGGCCCACTCAGTGTATGCCTGTCCATATAAAGCATACTATCTTTTCCATTGTAGATTTCTCACATTGGGAAGCTGAGAGATTTTCTCCTGGAACACAGAAAGGAGTATATTAATGCTTACAGGTAAGTGGGTTCTTCTTTAAAGACTTGAGTGGCTGCGTTCCTTTCTGTTGTACATTCCGCTCTTTTTCGTCCTCACTTTTTACTAACTCACAGCTGAGTGTCTATTACAGTGATAGCTCCGTGGGAAGGAAAGGGGTTACTTCATTTTCTACTTCCATTCAAGGTCTGTGATTGAGGGAGACAGGAACTGATACACAGGCTGTAGAAGAACACTGCTTACTGGCTTGCTTCTCATGGCTTGCTCATCTTTCTTGCGTATACACCCTGGACCACCTGCCAGGGGTGACACCACATCAGTGATTACTGAGGAAAATGCCCTCCACTACAGACAGTCTGATGGAGGCATTGTCTCAGTTACATTCCCTCTTCCCAGATGACCCCAGCTTCTGTCGAGTTGACGGACACTTCCCAGCGCTTCAACCAGGTTATGGGGCGGGGGGGGGGGGGGGGGGTGGGGTGTGTGTGTGTGTGTGTGTGTTAAATATCTGCAGAGTGAAGCAGAACCACCGTGGTGGGTTTGTGCTGAGTCACTGGTGGCCACTTGTCAGCAGCAGACTCTTCCAGTCTGTGTGTCTCTCTGTCCATCTTCTACTAATGGATGACACTCATTGCCTGACTGTGGATAGTGCTGTGCACAAAGGTGAGAACACATGTGTCCATGTCCCCTGAACCTGGGGAGGAACAAGATTTTTAAGGCTCTCCTAAGTTATTTTGACCTATGTTTGGCCATCTCTGTCTGTGACTTTGACTTCTCTGGTTTGGTGGCATTCTTGTGAGCCTATTTCCAGCCCTCAGCCTGTGTCTGTCACTGGGTCATGCTTTTCTTGCCAGTTCTCTTCCTAATGGCAACCTCCTTCTTTTGACACTCCCTGGAGACAGAAACAAATCTCTCTGGCTTGGCTTTTTTCTGATAGCGTATCTCAGGAGGGCTTCCCTCAGCCCCTCGTGTACTTATGGTCACGTTCCTCCTGGTGATGAAGTCCCATTTCTATCAGTAGCTGTTTGCTTTCATCACCTGAGTAGATCCACTGTGAGTGTCCACCGCATTGCTATTGGCTCACCTTCTCCTCTTAAATCAAGCTCCTAGACCCCTTCTGCCACAGTGCTCCAGCCTTGCCAGCCTTCCTGGAAGGCTCCAGGCTCTTTCCAGCTGCAGGGCATGCCCAGCTGAGGTGCTTCCTATCCCACACATCCGCCTTCCAGCTTCAGCCCTCAGCTTGTATACTCTGTAGTGTATGGAGGACAGAGGAGAGCCTGTGCATGCTGAGGCCTTAATTAAACTGTCTTCTAAGAGGCCTTCTCTACCACTACCCCTGACAGATCTCTCCTGTTAGTGTTGATGTCTCCAACTTGTGTATTTTCTTTAAACATGAATCACAGTGTGTAATTATTTAATCAGTTAGTAGGTTTTTGTCACTAATTTGTAAATTTTGTGAGGTCAAAGACCTTAATTTCTCATTCAAATTCCTGTAATGCTTCAGCTGTACTTTGCACTCAGTCAGTATTTGTCAGATAATACACAAATGATTCCCTCATATCCCCAAGGCACATGGCTAGCCACTGGTTCTCATCCACGGGTGTTTTGGCACCATATTCACAGATTTTGTCACAACAGTGAGAGGAGTGCTACAGGAATCTGGCAGGTGGGGCAACAGCATGCCAATCATCCTGCAGTGCACAGCACAGCCTTCCACAGCCACAGGGCAGCTGGCATTGACCCTGAAGGGGCTTTCCCAGCCTGACCTGCTCACTGTCCACACATCCATGGATCTGTGAACACCTGCCCAGGGCCTTCTGCAATTTTCGAGGTGTAGAGTACATCAGAGAGTAAGGCAGAAACTATCCCTCCTTTTTACAGCCTGCATGCTAGAGGGTCGGCACAGCATTGATGGTGACATGTAAAGACAGAGCAAGCCATGGGGTGGGAGTGCTGGGGATGTTTGCCGTTTTTTCCGTAGTGTGGTTAGGACAGGCCTCTTGAGGCTCCTCCTTGTAGACTCCTCTCTGAAGCTTGAACTCCCCGGCAGGATTGTGTCCTTCCTGCCTTGCTCCTTTCTCCTCCTGTTCATCCTCTGCAGAGAAGGCAACAGTCCCACTGGGCCCTGTACTCCCAACCCCAGTGCTTCTGAAAGCCAGCTACATACATGCTTCCCATTGGTTTTGATGACTTGGCCCTCTTCTTCCCTCACACACACACACACACACACACACACACACTTACCTTGCTTCCTCCCTAAGCCGCACTGTTTCATTTCACTGCCAAACATCAAGGTCTGCCAACTTGCTGGAAAGAGGGTTAGCACCTCAGACTTTGTGGGCCATGCACGCTTTCTGTCACATGTGTTATTGTTTGTTTATTACCTTTGAAAAACAAAAGCAGAACGACTTCTTAGCCCCAGATTGCACAGAAGTGGACCCGAGGGCTGGATTGGGCTGTGTTTTTTAGACCACTGGTGCGTGCCTACCGTCCTCACCATTTGCTGTGCTGGAACCCTGCACGGAGAGCTCCATTGCCCTCTCTGTTCTCCCGGGTTTACTTTCTGATGTGCTCGTCATCAGATCCACTGGCTTCTCTCAAACTGTGTTAATGGAGGCACACAGAGCACACCCATGTACCTGCCTTCTAGTACACAAAACACGTGTTTATTCTCTTATTTCTTCTACCATGGAACTTTGGGGGTTTTCTTGGCTCTTTTGTCTTATTTGTCTCTACTTTGCATTTGAAACATACCCTAATTATTGTGTTAGTCAGATTTTCATCCCTGTGACAAATACCTGAGAGAGCAACCTAAACGTAGAGATGGTTTATTTTGTTTCCTGATTACAGGTTTCAGCTCATGGTCAGTTTGCTGTATTACTGTGGGCCTGGCAAGGCAGAAAGTCATGAGTCATGACAGAGACTTTGGCAGGACAAAGTCGCTCACATCTCAGCAGCCAAGAACTGAGAGAAATGGGATAGCTACCACCCTTCAAAGACATGTCTACAGATATGCTTCCTCCAGACAGGCCCCACTTGCTAATAGCTCCTTGATGCTGTTTGTGGACTGACGATCCAGTCGTGGTTCAGTACTAACCAGCTGGAGGGACCAGGCCTCCAACACAGGCCTTTAGAGGACCACTTTTTAGTCAGACTGTTGCAGAATATTCCTTTACACTGTGTGAAGATGTGTCACTGTGATTGGTTTAATAAAGAGCTGAATGGCCAATAGCTAGACAGGAAGAGGTTAGGTGGACTTATGGGGACAGAAAGGACTTGGGGAAGAAGAAAGGTGGAGTTGCCAGCTAGACTCAGAGGAAGCAGGACATGCAGGAAGAGAGGTAAAAGCCGTTAGCCACATGGCAGCATGTAGGTTAATATAGAAATTGGTTAAATTAAGTTATAAGAGCTAAGTAGAAACAAGCCTAAGCCAAGGCCAAGCTTTCACAGTGAGTAAGAAGTCTCTGTGTCATTATTTGGGAGTTGGCAGTAGAAAGACTTGCTACACCAGACAGACGGCAGTCCTCTATCTCCCCACACACTCAGTCGTCTTTGTTCATCTGTGAGGGGCACTCCTAAGTAACGAATGTAGTTTTTGTCTCGTTTAGCCCTGAATTCCCCTGCTCATCTTTACTGAGTGCCTACCATGTGACACATTCCACTCCATGCCAGGCAAGAGACAGACATTCCGCTCCTTGTCACACAAGCAGGCAGCACTGTAAACAGGAGAGGCACCACAGAAGTAGAGCTCGGGGGGTTGGGAGACCCTGGCCTTGTCAGGGAAGACATCTTTGAAGAAGTGACACCCGAGCTGAGGTCTGAAGGAAAAGGAGTTACCCAAATGCCAGAAAGGAGGGAAGGAATCCATGGGTCCAGTGAATACACCTGCTGTATTCACTGCGCCTGAGAATAGTGCCTGTCCTGTTGTGAACCGGGTAGCAGAGAACCTCATATCCAAGGTGACTGTGAGCAGCCCCCAAACCTAACAAGCAATATTATGCTTTTAAACATATTTCATTTTAGTGTCTCAGAATACTCTGAGATGTTTGTAATCCTGCTGCGTTGTACTGCGTCATAAAGCCCTCTGTTAGCTGGCTCTGAACACTAGATGGCAGTGTAAATTTTATTTCTGAAGGTGTGTCTCTGTATCAGGTACTAAGTCAATAGGTTGCTAACTAGAAGCTGCAGTGATTTGAGGAAATAGAAATGGTTGGAGCCTAGCAATTTCCAGCCCTTTTCCTTGTCTCTAACTGCTGAGGCTACAGGTGCAATTGTATAGACCTTTCTTGAAAGTCTTTTGCCCTGCCAGTGGCACTCACACAGGGATGCTGACCATTCCTGAGGCTTCCAGACTTGCTAGACATGTATGGAGCTCTGTGATAGTGTTGTCAACTGACTTGACCGGACCCCGAGTCACCTAGGAGATAAGCCTCTGAGTACCCGTGGGAATTATCTAGGTCAGGTTAACCGATGTGGGAAGATTAACCTTAGCTGTAGGCAGGACCCCTCCCCTGGGTGGGGACTGTGAACTCTTTGAAATAGCAAGCCGAGCACCAGCTTTCATTGCTCTCTGCTTCCTGGTTGTGAATGCAATGTGATCAGTGTGATCATCGGATTCAAGCTTTTGCCGCCTTGGCATGCCTTCTGCGATGGATCATACCCTGAACGCTGGGCTGAAAAAGCCTTTCACTCTTAAGTTGTTTTTGTCGCAGCAACAGGAAAAGACTAAGAAGGAGCCACCCCATCAGTGGCACAGTACAAGAATAACAGAATGCTTACATGCCCAGACTAAGCCAATTTTCCATAAAAGCCAAAACTAGGAAGAGCATTGTGCTGAGGCTTGAGTAACAATGTTGAATGTAGCTGCAAACATGAGGACATTCTGGCAGTTAAAAGATGCACGATTCTGAATGAGGAAGAGAGAAGAGGAGAAAAGGTCAAGAGGTCCAGTTCCAAGCTCCTTTGTTACAAAGACAATAAATCCTGGTGTTTCATCCACATTAAAAGTTCAAGGCTCCTTGTTAACACTCCCATTGCCTTGGAAAAGCATCTGGCCGCTAGATGGTGAGATGGAGGTGGTCTGGCTCAGGCCACCCCAGCACTGTAAGAGTCGCCGAAACCCATCTAATCTCCAGGCTAGGTTCTGCCCACTGCCTGTTTCAATACAGGCTCTTACCTAAGGTCAGTTTCATGTGTGTAAATGGTTGAGGGTGAGATAAAAGAAGATAACTTTTTGCCACATTTGAAATGATGTGAAATTCCAGTTTCAGTGCTGTTGGGAGAATGGTACTGTTGTAGTAGAATTTGAAGATGATTGTAATGGGAGGAGGGACAGAGCAAGTTCCCAGGGGCCCCAGACTGCACAGCAGACTGGCATCTCAGTTCAGCCCACTGCAGCCCCAAGCCTGTCTCTTCCCAGCCACTGTGGTAGCAAATGCTGGGGCTGATGACCAGGACCCTGGGGACATCCTTAGCCCCTTTGAGCAGCACATAGAACTATGTCCCTGAGGCTTCTTTACTCTATAGCAGCCCAGCATTTTGTAGAAATTTAGTCTTCTCTGCTAGCCCTTACACTCCAGTTCTAGCCTACCCTGGTCTCCTGCCTTTGAAAGAGCATGGGCTTTGGGACCAGACATACTTCTGTCCAGTTTGGCTGAGTATCAGTCCATATGTACAACTCACATCACTTCTCTGTGCTTTTCTTTCTGATGCAACATGAACCATGGTCTTATGAGGATTAAATGAGGATTCCTGGCACACAAGAGTCCCTTGGTGAGTGATGATTGAGTTAACTCTGATGACCCATGATGCTTTGACCATCAAATAAAGCCTGGATGGGGATAAACTAGGCCAACAGGCAGAACTTGAAACTGTAGGTGAGCTGGTTTGTGATATTCTGGTCCTAAATTAGACTCAGTCAGGTTAGTGCCGCTGAGCAGTCATAGTCCCTGGCTCCCAGCTAGCAGGGCCAGGTGCCTTTGCTAGGAGAGAGTGGAACAGAGGGAACCTCTGCTGTCTGTGGGCAGGCCAGTCTGGAGATGAGGGTGAGATGGGGAGTGGGCTAGGTACATATCCAGTTCCTTTGGCCAGAGTACTCATCAGGGAAATTCCTGCTCCTCTCTTGGGAGGCTGAAGAGGGGGAAGCCTAGGTTCACTCTGGGGAAACTAATGCACATGGAAGTGCCAGGACAAAGGACTAGTGTCCCCACACTGTGCTCTCCCTGAAGATGGAGACCAGCCTCCCTCATCCACTCCCACCAAGTTCTCTTTCCCTAAGGTTGTAGAGTACTGCCAGCCATTCAGCTTTACAGCCTCCCTCCCAGTACAATGTACTGGCCTTGGCCTGCTCCTAGGAACATTTTATAAGCAGTGTAATCACAGAATTGAAAGAGCATGGGTAGAAATATTGCCTTCAGACCATGAGGCTTTGTTAGTTTAACATAATTAGGAAGCTATAATTTTTTCCAGAATGTAGAGCTCAGACTTTATTGACCCATTTAATTTTTTTAATAATGACATTTTACTAGAGCAGAACAGCATGCAGCCTAGGCAGCCTCTGGCTGGATCTTAGAATGACCTTAATTAAAATAATTTCTCCATTCTGTACCTTTTCCATGATACCCTGGCAACAAAACAGTGCCACTTGGGAGAACAACTTTGTTAGTTCTGTTGTTGCTACTAAAAGAGTAAAAGCTCCATCAGTTTCCAGTATCCAAGGTCAAGTGGGTTCTGTATAATGTATCTGAGGACTCCCCTCCTCCCCGAGTAATCAGTATTCTCAGATTAGCCTTTAGACCTTCACTCTCACTCAGCTGGGCTCCATTAACTGGGACTATAGAGCCAGAGGATGTTAGTCCTATGCCTTTGGAACCAGTGCTGTCTAGGTCCACCCTGGTGGCAGGTATTTGTTCAGAAGCCAGCATCAGTCTAATTCAGGAGCCTTTGACCTCTTTCACCTCGGTGCTTCCAGAAGAGCCACTCAGACTGCAGAGTAGGAGAAGTAACTGGAAGTATGGAGTCACTTATTCAGACACCTGGGAAGAACATTCCAGAAGGAGAGCCAGGGCTTCTAAGGTCCGTGTGCAACCAACATGGAAGGTGGAGGAGCAGAAAGCTATGAACCCAAGCCAAGGGCTGAGGTGTGTGAGATGAGCCAAGAGAGTTCCTCAAGAATGGCCTTGTCTATCCTAACAGCCTTTGCTCTGAGGAGCTTTGGAAGGGCCTGTGCAGAGGGCTTCACAGGATCCAAATATGTAAGAGCACCCATGTGACTGGTGTGCCGAGTAGACAAGGAAGGTCTGGGTAGAAGCAGCAGACCCTGGAGTCAGCTTCTGTTGCAGACTGGGAGATGTTGGTAGATAGATTCTAGGGAATGTTTTGAAGGTAGAGCCAACAGGATATGTAGATAGATGTATACAAACCGAGGCAAAGGGGAGCTAGGGATGATGTCAGGGTTTGTGGCCTGAGCAGCAGGAAGGGATGGAATCATTACCAGCACATCCTAGGGAAAGCTGCTGGAGAGCATGTTTGAAGAGAGAGGTCAGGAACTCAGTTTTAGACATATGTGCAATGCAGAGTAAACATCTGAGTGGGGCTGTTGAGTGGGTCATCAGATGTCTTTGTTTCAAGTTCACTGACTCTCCTTTCACTAAGTTGTAGCACTTCAGAGACCATCCATCATTCCTCAAGATCTTAACCACATAGAGAAGAGCCTTTGCCCTGGTCCGTCCTTCAGAGCACTGTGTTGGTCGTGGGGCATTCTGTCTCCAGAGCATTACTTCGTTTCTGCTGAAGTTGCTTGCCCTCAGTTCCCAGTTTAACTTCCTGCTTTCCTTCTGTGTTCTGTTTCTTCTTGAACACACAGGCCCAGTTCCAGGCAGTTCTGCATCCCTGCTTCTTCCTTTTTGAACCTCGTGCCATCACCCAAACTCTGCCATTCTCCTCCCTCTGTTATGTTTGCCTTGTTGAAACGGGGGGAGGGGGGGAGGCGAGGTTTCTATGTATCCCAGGCTAACCTTGAGCTCCCAGTCCTCTTACCTCCCCTCCCCAGTCCTGGGATTCCAGGGGGTACTCCACCAAACCCAGTAGCTCCATTCTGAAAATAAAGTTTGACAAAAATTTATCATGCCCCTACCCTTTATAAGTGCTAGGAAACAGAGAGAGGCTGGGCATACACTTGCTGTCATGTATGAGGCCCTGGGTTCAGCCCCAGCACTGATTAACAAACAAGCAAACAAAGGATGCAAACAGATAAACATAGAGATGAATAAAGCAAGATTCTTAGCTGGAGGTCAGTAGCCCCAGGCCTGACCTTCTACCACTGTTCCATGTAACGTGTTGTCCCGTCATTTCTCCTTGTACACCCAGCCTTTTCATTGTCTGCAGAGTCCCTGACTAGCTCTGAAGGCCACTAACGACAGCGTTCCCACCTGCCCTATGTTCCAGCCAGTTTGAAGTCCTCACCCTTCTCTTCTGCCTTCATTGTTACTTGCTGTAGGATGTTCTGTATGGCAAATGTGTTGCTGATTGGTCAATAAATAAAACACTGATTGGCCATTGGCTAGGCAGGAAGTATAGGCGGGACAAGGAGGAGAATAAAGCTGGGAAGTGGAAGGCTGAGTCAGAGAGACACTGCCAGCCGCCATGATGAGAAACAGCATGTGAAGATGCTGGTAAGCCACAAGCCATGTGGCAAGGTATAGATGAATGGAAATGGATTAATTTAAGCTATAAGAACAGTTAGCAAGAAGCCTGCCACGGCCATACAGTTTGTAAGCAATATAAGTCTCTGTGTTTACTTGGTCGGGTCTGAGCGGCTGTGGGACTGGCAGGTGAGAGAGATTTGCCCTGACCGTGGGCCAGGCAGGAAAACTCCAGCTATAGTTACTCTTACCTCCCTCAGCCATTCCTGTCTTTCAAGGATCAGTTTGTGGGTTCCTCTCTCCCCATCCACCACCACCCCCAAACACACACCAATATAGGAAACAAGCATCCTGGTCCAAACTCTCCTGCCTCATTGCCCCTGGTGACACACACGTGTAATCCCAGCACTTGGGAAGTAGAACCAGGAGGTTCCGAATTCCTAGGTCTTCCTCAGCTGCATAGTGAGACTGAGGCAAGGGTGGCCTCCATGTGACCTGGTTCCACAGAAGCATTATGGGGGTTCTTGAAGTCTGACTCCAGAGCAGGCTGCCTTGGTCAAACCCCATCTCTGTTAATAACTAGTTGTGCAACCTTAGCAAGTTAAATAGCTTTCTGTGCCTCAGTTGGTTCATTTGTAAAATGGGAATATAATAGCACCTACCTGGAAGTTTTGAGAATTAAGTAGGTAAATGTATGTAGCTCCCTAGATTAGAACACTGGTCAATGTCAGTTCATGAAAGTATTGCTGACCATTAGCCTATGCTGTGTGATATAACGTGTCTATATGCATAGGCCTGTCGATGTCACCTATTTGATAATGTATTGAAAGCAGGGTCTGCGTTCAGCTCCTGTGTGTAGCCCAGGCATTAACAATTTAACTTCATAATGTGTATTGACCATGCATATTATATGCCCAGTGTACACTATAAAGTTGCTGTGACTCTAACATTTCCAGCAAAAACAAGGCTATATTCGTAAACTGTTGCCATATCCTTCAGCACCCGGCACAGTAAAGCATTTGCTCTTTTCTGCCTCTTCTTTACCCTCAGGGCATGGCTGTTTCTATATAAAATTGTAGTCAGTGATGTTTTGACCCTGAACTTGTCATTCCTTAATGTACCGCCAACCAAGTCAGAAGGAGAAACATATTCCTTTAAATTTCTGAACCAGCAAATAAATTTGTATTTTTTCACTCCCCTGCCATCTCCTGAAGTAAATTGACCAATTCAAATTCATACCTAACGTAGTCTCCTCTAATTGAATCTACTACTTAGCTATATTGAGATCTGTAACACAGTTATTTCTCCTCATAATCAAGGAAATAAAACTTGATGTTTATATATGCATGTCACATGAGAATAGCTTGGAATTGTTTACAAGATGTTTAACCTTTTCAGAATAGTAATAATTCTGCTATTGTAACTTCACTGTGGCTTGATAACTTTAGCCTTCTCTGTTTCACATGCACACACTGTGTATCTCGTGCTTTTAAAACACAGTGGAGCAGCAGAGTAGGGAGCGCTCTTATAAGTGTTCCAGCTTCCCACTTGTAAAGCCCTCAGTTTGGCCTGACACCTTTGGCTCAGTACCATAAGCTCCTTCCCTCCAGCCTGGGCCTTCTGTCCTGGGTGTGATGTGTGTTTGTGTACACAGACCTGCATTCTAGGCTTTTCCTTTGCCTCCATGCCCAAGCAGTCCATGTTGCCTGTCAGTGTCTCTTAGATCAATCACCTTTACCCCCCAAAGACACTGCCTGCACCTAGCCTTTCGAATTTTCTTGGACAATGGCAGTGGTCCCTCAACTGGGATTAGAGCACCTGAGGTCAGGATTCTTCAGTCTTGAGGCAGTGTGCTATGGAAAAACAAACCATGTGCAAATGGCTCTGTTTACAGTCCTCCACTGACCATCCTGCTGGTGAAGGCAGCACTGGGAGTGGAGGGTGTAGTGTCTGTGTTTGAGTTTTAAATAAGTGCTTACTGTCACACTATCTCAGGAGGAATGGTGCCGCCATGTGCCAGACACATCAGTGTTGCCGAGAAGACTGAGGAGGCGCCATAACAGGCTGCTCCATCTTCTCTCAGAGATCAGGCCTCAATTTCAGTTTCCTGAGACTGAACAAGCAGTTTCTGAAAAAGCCACAAAGGGCAATTAATCAATCTCCAGCACCCCCAACAGCAAGGACAAGGAGGCCTGCTACATGCAGTATCAGGCCAGGCCTGAACCACAGTCAGCAGGTAACCAAACAAAGCCTGGGACTTGTCCAGGCCTGCCCCAAAATGGAAAACTGTAGCCCTGACCAGCCCCTAATTAGCCCTAGCCAATTAGAACATACTAATATGATTGCCACTTGCTTAAGCCAGTCCTATCTAAGATGACCTAATGCTCTAGGAACTCCCCTTGGCTGGGCTTCAAAGGAGCCTGTGGGCTCCTCTCAGCATTGTCACCATTTTGTCTTTGTGTGGGATGGCAGCCCCGGCATACTGGAGTCTTTCTCCAGATAATAAATGCTCTTGTTGATTGCATGCATGAATGGTGGTCTTTTGTGGGACTTTTCCAGGACCCCAACACTACCCCTCTCTAGAACCAGGTGCCTCGTTTACACAGGGCCAGCCTTCCTGCTCACATGTGCCTGGGTGTGAAGTAGATACTATATGTTCACTCAAACAATAAGCCACAGCGTGAGGAATCATATCTGGTCTTTGTCTCCATCCTCTGTCGGCATGCATTCTGTTCCACCTGCCCTGCCCAGCACCCCCATCCCACATGTGCTGACCATGCTCCTCTTTGAGCTCTACTGTCCACTTCCACATCAGCACCAGTCAGTGCAGTTCTTGGCACTCTGGTTTCATGTTGATCACTCCTACAGTTGAGTGCCTTTTGTGGAAATGGAAATAAGCCTTACTCAGTTTTGAACCCAACTTAGTACTTATGCTAAGGGAGTGAATGACTTGTGAGGATTAAATGAGAAATCGGATATACATAAAGCACTGAGAACCAACCTGGCATATGCTCAGTGTCTGACTGGTGTTAGTCAGGGACCCTGTGCTGCATGATTTTACCAGGGAAGCAGACACAAGGTGGACAGTCTTTACTTCCACATAGCTTTGGAGGAGAAAAACAGACTTTTTGGTATTTCTGGGAACAATAAGTGCAATAAATTAAAGTAAAGCCGGGTCAGAAGCTGACAGCAGTGCATTAGAGGTGAGGGTCAGAGGTGGTCCCAGCTCTGTCCCAAAGCAGCTTTGGAGGAGACATGATAATCTCTTGACCAGCACAGCATGAAAAAGTAATGTTGGGTGAGTTCCATGGGAGGCCATCGTTTCTGGAGTGAAGTAAGTGATGGGACAGACCAGTGGTCAGAGCCACTCACAACAGAGTGGAAACGCTATGACCTAGGTCACAGGTGAAATAGGACTGTCAGGACTTTATCTTTTGTCCTCGTGGCTAGATGGACAGGTGAGTGAAATGGGTGGTTTGAGTGTCTACATTACATAAGTGCCCTTTCAGCTTGCAGCATTGGGAGTCCAAATTTCCGTTGTGAAGTCCACAGTTTTGAAATAGGCTAAGGAGTATTGCTGTTACTGATTATGCTGCCACACTCAGTCAGCGCTTGTGAAGGAGAGCTAGGTGTTCTATATTGTTCAGGGCCTTGTTACTGAAAGTGGATGCCCCTACCAGCCTCGTCACTTCAGGATGGTTTAACTTAACATCAGGAGAGATAAAATTTATTTCTAGAGGCTTTTTTTTTTTTTTGAGACAGGGTTTCTTTGTGTAAGAGTCCTAGATGTCCAAAGGATTCACTTTGTACACCAGGCTGGCCTCGAACTCACAGAGATCCGCCTGCCTTTGCCTCCCAAGTGCTGGGATTAAAGGCGTGCACCACCACTGCCTGGCTCTAGAGGCTTTTTATTGTGAGTTTTGAAAACTGCTTTCTAGAATCAGAAAACAGCCCGCAGAAGTTTCTTGTGTTTCATATACCCCCAGATCGTGTCCCTACAGCATGCAGGCTGAGCGGCTTGGGACTCTAACATAGTTATTGGGCTATGCAGTCCTTAGTCGGAGCCTCTGTTCCTCGCAAAGCTGTGTGTCGCAGCCTGTTATATTGGCCCGCCTCTGTGGAAGCTCTGTAGAAGACTGTACCTCATGGCTTCTGTTCCACTCTCCAGATCACTCTCCCACCTGTTGGTCTGGCCAGCCCCCTCCAAGTCTCTGCTTTGGTGTCATTTGGTCAGAGAAACCTTTCTAATTTTTTTTTTGTTTTGTTTTGTTTTTTGAGACAGGGTTTCTCTATGTAGCCCTGGTTGTCCTGGAACTCACTCTGTAGATTAGGCTGGTCTTGAACTCAGAGATCCGCCTGCCTCAGCCTCCCGAGTGCTGGGATTAAAGACGTGCGCTGCCACCACCCAGCTTGAAACCTTTCTTCTTGACACTCTACCTGGACTGCATTATGTCTTACTGATGCCACCCTCAAATTGTTTCCTCTTTTTCAGCCATATCATGTCTGAATATGGGAGGATGACGGACACAGAGCGAGACCAGATAGACCAGGATGCTCAGATATTCATGAAGACCTGTTCAGAGGCAATTCAGCAACTCCGAACAGAAGGTGAAGTGCTCTGAAAGAAGCCAACAGATCCCATGAATGTGCCAACCAGTTAAACACTCATGGTGCAGCCATTTATGATCCCCTCTTTCTTTCTGAATGGCATTTAGGACTTCAACTTTGAAAATCCTTCCTTCCTGGTCAGTCTTCTAAGCTAAGCTGTTCAGAGTCCTGAAAAGACTGTCACTCAAGTTAAATAAATAGAAAGGACCTCTCTAAATAGAATCTGTAACCTACCAAAAGGCCAAGGTCAAAGGGAACAGATTGTGTGTGTGCAAGCATTTGCATATTTGTGGAGACATGCATGTGTGACTATGTTCTGAGTGGCAGGACAGATGACATAAATGTGGCTAAGGATGGACTAATAGTCTCTAATTGTTGTCCTATTAAAGTCAACCCCATATGAGACTTCGTGATTGAGAGGAAGCTCTGCTTCCATGACTTGAAAGCAATGCACCCTAGCTCTGCTACATGCTAGCTCTGTGGCCTTGGGCAAGTCGCTTCGTCTCCCTGGGCTCAACTTCTCCATTGAAACAGTACAGACAGGAGTTAGGCGTATCACTTAAGTTCTCACAGCATGCTTAGAACCCTGCCTGGTCCTAGGGGCCTAGTGTTATCTCCCCTTCGCTGGGCTTCATCCCCGTAGAGGAGCTAGGCTTCCCAGCCATGTGTCTTCCTTGATTTTTTAAGCACATACATTAATACTACAGAGGTCAAAATTGCCAAGTACTGTCGAACTCATGACTGACTTCTAGTGGAGAAGCTTCTGAAAGAACATGGGATCATCCACTGGGAGAGTCTTGATGAAAACTTACCAGAAAAATATGCATCATACAAAATTAGGTGTGCAGCATTGCAGACTACCCAATCTTCATGTGAGTCTTATGTTATATAGCCCCTCTAGTAAAAACATAACCTGTGCCCCATACCCTTAAGGGCATAGGCATTTGTGACCTTCATCTACCTCTTGCCTCTGGACTCAGTTGGCTTACTTGAGGTATTTCTATGAAGTCCTATCATCATGCCTGCCCACTAGGCACCCAGCCTTTCCACCAAGAACAGGGTCTTACCATAGGAACTGGCATAGGCTTCTGTGTGGTAGCTTGCCCTTGTGGCTCATCAATGTGAACAGTTGTTGGAGAGCAGGCTAGTATGGATAGTGTCACTCAGTGTCTGAAGGGAGAAAGTAGTCACTGTAGGCTGAAAGCAGTGCAGGCAGAGGGAGGGTGTCTGTGGTCCAGCATGTGTGATTTAAGCATGTCACTTGAAGGTGAGCCTGAGCACTGGATGCTGTTAATACAGCCAGGTCAGCATTCCGGAAGGAGCTGGATCAACTCAGCTCCCCCGGTGCTGTAATAAGCTATAAATTATTTGACTGCAGTTTCGATGGGTTTAATCTCTCACCTGGTGAACCCTAGTAAATCTTACTCTTAAAAATGTAGTCTCACTTGACACGAGGCTGGTTTATAGCTGGGCTTTTGAACATGCTTTCAATGAAGAGCTTTGAGGAAGCTGACTGTTCTGTGGAGTCCTTGAGCACAGACCTGAGTGCTGTCCTTTTCTCTTACAGCCCACAAGGAGATACATTCCCAGCAAGTGAAGGAGCACAGGACCGCAGTTCTGGATTTCGTTGAAGATTACTTAAAAAGTATTTCATTTTCTTCTAAAGGTCAAATGTGGTATTTCATAAGAGATGCAATTTAGAATAGCTTTGCTAGCCGAAGACCATAGTGTTTCATTAGTGTTAATGATACCTTTGCCTGAGAAGCCATTTTAAATGGTCTCTGTTCTGGTATTTTCTGCTTCAACAGGAGTGTGTAAGCTTTACTCTGAACAAAGAGCCATCCGAGTTAAGCGTGTGGTGGATAAGAAGAGACTGTGAGTATTTCTGCCTTTGCCCTTCCTTCTTCAGTTAAAACGGGCAACAGGAATGGCAGCCTGAGCTCCTAAAGCACTGACTCTGTGGGCCTGTGTGCATGAAGTCTGTACCATATGCTGTCATAGGAGCTGAGGACATACTGTGAACCAGGTGGTACTGGTCACTCTTGTTAGCCACAGCAGGTCGTGAGGCAGGTTCTCTCTTTCTTTTCCTAATGACACTGAGGTTCAGTGGGTTTTAAACTCACGTGACCCCACAGTCTCATGGCAGCTGAACTGGTATTGAGCATTTACCTAATTACTTTTTCTTTTTGGTTGGGAGTAGTAGGGAGACAGTCTGGCTATGAGGTCCATGCTGGCTTCAAAGTCATTATGCAGCCCAAACTGGCCTTGAACCCATATTTTTTCTGCTTTAGGATTCAGAGTGAGTGGGTCACAGGTATGTGCCACCCACCCAGCTTCCCACCCTATTTCTTAATAATCGTATGAGGTGGGACCCTTGGAGCTATTTGTCCTTGGTCTCTGCTCCCCCCCCCCCCCCCATACCTTCTTCTCTGAAAGGGGTTTTCACAGTGACCATGCTCCCCTATGTTGCTGACAATATGACATAATATATTCAAGATCCCCACTCCAATACCCATTTTGGCATGGTACTGCCAGTTTGCCCAGGGAGGACCCAGGGGAGCAGGTTCAACTCTGGTGTTGTAGGATTAGCTGTCAGTATGGTGAGGAGACCAGTCACTGGCTCTCACAGCCCCAGGAGGAGAGGCAGACATGTCTGCTGCAGTGTCACAGGTGGAGACAAGAAGAGGCCTCAGCACACTGCAGCCTCAGCCCTGCTTCTCAGCAGAGGTTTCCTCTGACATCCACACTGACGGCATCCACACTGACGGCAGTCAGATGGGAATTGTACAGGGTCAATCACCTGCCAAATAGCTGCTCTCTGAGATTACCCCGAACAGAAGACCTTTGAGACCTTGAATAACTGTAACTCTTCACACTGTGGTCCAGCCCTGTCCTCTTAGGTTTGTACTTCTCAGGCAGGCCTTGACTGCTGATCCTGCTGCCTCAGCCTCCCAGATGGTGGGGTTGTGGAACTGCGGGCATGTGTTAACCACCCTGACTTCTTTCTGGTCTTTCTTCATCTTTACACACAAGACATCTTCTTAAAACATACATATAATTTATACTTAATCTTAGGCCTCTCTTATGCACAGGTCTCACCAAGGCCAAATTTGGCAAACTCAAGGCTGTAATGACTGTTTCATAACTTTTGTTTCTAAATCAGTCCCCAGTGACATCTGCTCTGCCAGGCCTACGTGTGACTTTGTTCTAAAGGAGCTTTGCTTTCCTTGTGCCCAAATCTTACTGAATTCTCCATCCATAGAACCTTTCACATAGCCTGCTCTGTCCATCTGGGGACAAAGTCACACTCATCCTTCCAGCCCAACTCAAGCTTCACCTGTCCTATGACATGTCCCAGCCGCTGCCCCCGCTGTGTCTCCCTTCTACTAGGTTCCCATTTGTTGTTCACGGCCAGGTGCAGCACACACACTCGTGCAGCCTCCGTTGACTTGTGTCTCCTCAAACAATTCAGCCCATGGTGCAATGCCTGTCCTTTGGGGAGGCTGGTGGGTAGAGTGTGCGCAGTTGTCGTTGGTGGGTTGTTTCTGTCTACGGTTAGGTTTGGGTTGCTGATGGCTGTTGTTAAAAAGTTGATTTGAGGAGTCCCGCTGATGTTCTGTGGCATTGTTGTCACTATCTCGCTTATCTGCCTGGTGAAGGAAAACGTACTTGTTAAGGTGCGCCTGCCTTGCTCACTGTAGTGTTTTAAGTGTGGATGTAGCTTTTGTTCTTGTAGAGTGGAGATGTCACACCCATCTACTGTACCAAAGGGCTCTTACTTCAAACTGCTGGAAATACTTTGCTCATTAAGCCAGAAGTATTCCCAGCTGACTGCTCTGTCCTTTCCTACAATGGTTATGTTGTCTGTAAATGATAGTGCTGTCATTAAAGGTACCTGTTTTCATCTACCCTGATGGCATTTTGCTTTCTGAGCTGACAGTGGTACATGCTGCATGTTGCCTCAAGCCAGAGAGGGATAACTACCCTGGGCATCCCATCTCTCTGCTCTGTAAGACTGTAGGCTCAGAGGTGAGGCCCATCGTCTTCCAACTTTCTGATCAGAGCTTGCTTCAAAGTAGATGCTCAACCATTGGTTTCTGACTGAAGGAGACATCAAATGGGGCATGACGGCCTGCTCCTGCTCATAGAGTTACAGAGTAAAAGCTTACAAACTAGAAATACGTGGGCCAATATTGGATGAAGCCTTGGCACAAGTGGCCCTATCATACATCCCCAGAGGATTTTCAATCCACCTCTTTTCCTCTTTGTCTCCTTAAATTTCTCATATTTTGGGGTGATTGAAGCTGAAATGGCCATCACACACTCTGGTGGTATGTACTCTCATAAAACATCTGAGCTAATCAGAAACATGCTCTCTCCAGAAAAACAGCTTGTGTATCATTGGAGTCTGTTGTTGCACTGGAGACTCTGTGTCCAGAGACCTGTTTGCATGGGCTCCGTGTCGTGATGACACTTTCCGAGAGGGCACATCAAGCCCTTCTCCTGCCCAGGCCAACACACACCAAAGACACTGCCGTGATCCCCAGCCACACAGCCCCTTATATTCTCTGTTCTGTGTTCTCTGCTGTCAGCACAAAGGAGGGAGTTCATGCTGCTTTTCTTGTTCTTTAGAGAAGATGTCAGTGCTCATGTGATGCATAGCATCACGTACTGAACTAGTACTTAGAGAGTCTGTCATTTATGATTCAGCCCTCTCTCCTCAGCAGGATTATTAGCCTGCTGCAGGCCCTGACTTAGGGTCATGCACATGGCGAGAGCTCAGCAGATGCTGCCAGTGTTTGGAATGGCCATAGTGATGGAGTTAGAGAGGAAAGGCAGAGATGGCATGTGATATGAGGGCCACAGTGATGATTTTCCCTCTTTTACTGTCTATGATGGGGCCTTGTTTGCTGCCTAGAACAGGGAGGAGCAGACTGGCCTGTGAACCAAGTCTAGACTTTGACCCATTTTGTATGGCTTTCCAGCTAAGCCTGGCTTATTGTGTTTGAAAAGGTCTGTAAACCAAGAAGGAAGAATACGAGTTAGATCTTGAAATGTTCACCATCTGGCCTTTTCCTGTGTAGATCCTGGCTTTAGAGCAGCACCCCCTGACATGAAGGGCCACCTCTTTGTAGTTTTTGGCAGTCTCCCGGGGACTGATGTTAGTCTCCTGTGCATGGCAGGGTCACAGCTGTGCCTCAGGTGGCCTGCCACAGTGGTCTGATGACACCAGTGCTCTGTACCATGTTCAGTGAGACAAAGGCACTGTCAGAGTGCTATGCATTCTCATACTTAACTGTGGCAGGCCAGGAATAAGCAGTGTGGACTCTGGTACTAGTCGGTGGACCACACTCTGAGGAACACTTACGAAAACAAAACTTCCCTGGGAAGTGGCAGATGCCCAGTAAATACCTGATAGGTGAGTGACTGCCTGATGGAGGAAGTGGCTTTAGGTAGAGTGAGCTGACTTCCACTGGCCCTGTGACTCAGAGGCCTCAGAAACTCAGATGCCGCTTTGGAGTAGGGCACTGTGACGTGCATACTCTGCCCTCTGCGTTGGCGTGTAACAGGCAGAGAGCAGTCCTTCTGGAATGGCATGGATTCTCTGTGTTTGCAAAGTGTGCTTCCATGCTTTTTATTTTATTTTATTTTATTTTTTGCTTGCTTCAAAACAAGAAGAGCCGTCTCTTTCTCTCTTGGTCTTTTACAATTTCAAATACAGTCCCAAGGCTTCTCAAGTCAGGGACCTGTGTTGATCCCAGTTAGACAGTACTTGGCCTTCAGTTTGAGAAGTATGCTGAAGTATAAATCAGGGGACATAAACTGATTCTTGTGGTGACTTTTTCAAAAACTGCTTTTTTCCCCCAGGTTGCCTTTAGCTAGCTAATTTGTAATTTCCCTGAGGATTTCAGTAGACATTCTGTACATAATTAGAATCTGTTTTTATCACCTTACAAAAGTGTTCATCCTTGTCTCTGTCTGCTTCTCTGCAGCCCTCTATTTATTTTACACTGAAAACTGGCACTGCCACACTCAGACATGAGGGTGATGGGCATGAAATAAATGCTCATCAAGAGGCAGGCAACCCGTCCCCTTCCTGAACCAAGCAGTCCTGAGCCAGGAGATGGGGAGGGTCAAGGTGAGTGTCTGCTGCTGCTGAGGAGCCCTGCTGCTGCCCAGGGTAGGGGACAGGGAGGGCATGCAAAGACAGCTAGCTCCCCTCCAGGAGGAGAGGTGGCGGTGGAGCCGAGGGTATTGGCTTCTACAGGTGATCCAACAGCTGCTGAGACAGTGCAGCAAGCCAGTTTTTTCCAGCGTGTGAAGGAGAGAAAAGGCCAGGCTCTCTCTTCAGACCTGTGGTAGGGGTTAGAATGAAAAATACAATGTGTCATAGTTCACACACACACACACACACACACACACACACACACACACACACACACACACACACACACACCTGTCTTGGTTTCTAAGTACCACTTCCAGGTTCGAGGGATCAGGTTTCATGGAGAAATGGCCTATTCTTAGGCTGGATTAAGGAGAAGTGTGCAATGAGCTGTATCAGAAAACAAGGGAGGGATTACAGAACAGTAGGAAAGTGTCTGATGGTCACAGCGGCTACCCTGAGGGGTTTCTACCAGCCACATTTAACAGGGAGAACTGAAGGAAAGCAGCAAGTGTAGCCCACTGAGTGAAAGAGGGCATCAGGAGTCCATCTGGACAGGAGTAAATTCGTGAATGAATAAAAGTTTGAAAGAGTTATAGTGTCAAGTGTTTCCCCTGGCTTCTTGTTGGCAAAGAGGAAGAAAAACCTTATAACAAGGAGCCCGACAGCCACCATGTCCATCAAGATAAGTCACACACAGGCTGGCAGATGCCCCCGAAGAGCATCAGTGCTTCTGTGATTTCTACCAAGGCATCACCAGGCTTCAGCCACAAAGCACCGGGCTTAAGTTCAGAGGCATGGTTGGAGTGACTGGCAGGGTGTTGGGTGTCAAGTACATGGAACTCAAGGAGAGTCCGAAGGAAGCATTCCAAACAGATTAAAGAAAGCATTAGTGGGTAACACGATGCAGGATTCTGACCAGGACTCTGACTGTACAGGCTATGTTGGTCAAAATGGAATCTTCTGAGGAAGTGATGAGAGTAAGAAATGCCTGTGCCTTTTCTGGTTGTGGTGGTCACATCAAAGCGCACTGCCTTTAGGGAGTATGTTAAACATTTAAAAGTGGAGGGCATCAGGCTGGAACTTCCTCACTGAGGGAGTCTTTATACTTCAGACTTCTCCGTGTGTGGTTGTTATACAATAAAATTTAAAACACAGAATACCAGGTCACATTTGTCAGACACCCAGACTAAAAATAGGGAATGGACGTGGGGCAGCCAGAACCTCCTAGGTAGGGGAGTGAGTCCACAGTGATTATGCATTAGAAATGTCCAGCTATGATAATTCTCTGAAGGTAAATGACCAGCTCCTGTTCCTATACCTGGAATGTCCTTTATGTCCTTGTGTCTGCCAAAGTCTTACTCTCTGTCAAGATCTTCAGTGATTCTCACCCTGTGAAGTTCTCAATATTCTATACTCGTAGTTCTTGAAGAACTCAGAAAGCATTTGCATTTTAGATATCTCAGCTGTTATTTAAAGGCTAAACAACAACATCTGATATATAAATGCTGTTATTTAGAATGCTGACTCTGTTACTTAAGCATCCCAGGGGAGCTAGTGACCACACAAGGACACTCTTACAGCCCCGTTTTACAGATGAGAAATCAGACCAAGAAATGTCAAGACACTTGTTACTTACCAGAGAAAAATATTGAAAATTCTGATTGATGGGTATGGTTTTTTTCAGGCTAGTTTGAAAATTGCCTAATGTGTCAAGCTACTCAATTACTAAATTACAAGACTAATTTGACCCAAAATGTTAAGTAGTATCTCATTTTATAATTATATTAATATACTTAATGCTAAATACAGACTAAGCCCTGTTTGTTTCTTAAGGTTTCTTTTGAGTTTGTTTTGCAGTACTGGGATCAAGCCCAGGGCCTTAGGCATGCTCAGTGAGCACTATGCCTGAGCCCTCTTCTTTACACATTTTAAAAAGATTAACCATGCTGCTGAGCAGTATGGTGCTGTGTGAACCACACACCATTGCCTCACTTACTCTCGTGTTGGTCAGCATAGGGTTGTCTCTGTTTCTTTTCTTTACGAATAAGTCTGCTGTGACTGCTTGATTGTTTCGTGTGGACGTACCTTTTCCTTTCTCTTTGGCGAATGCCTCAAAGTGAGTTTTCTGTGTTACAGTGGAGACATTGTGAGATTTAATAAGAAACTGTTCCAGGTTTTCCACGGTGGTAACAGCATTTTATACACCATCCAGCTATGTGAGGTTCTGATTCATCCTCATTCTCCCCAGGATATAGTGTGGTTCAAACGTGTTTTAAGTCTTCCTGTGGGTGTGCAGTATCATCTCAGTGTGGCTTGGGTTTGTGCTAACCACCTGTTCATGTGTGTTTACAGATGACTTCCATATTTCCTCCAGAACATCTATTCAAGTCTCTCACACACTTTATTATTGAATCATTTCCTTTTGTTAACTTCTGTAGGAGTTCCTTCTATGTCCTGACATAAGCCCTTTGTGAGGTCTCTGCTGTGGACAGTTGTCTCCCTCCTCTGTGCTTTGTCTAGTCAGGATCTGAATGGCTTAGCCACTCATTCTATTAATGTTGGTTAAAGAGACTTTCTTCATGGAGCTGACACAACACGGACTCTGGAGCTGGGACCCTAAGGTCTTGTCTCAGCCTAGCTACTGTGTGGCCTCAGTTCCCTTCTTTATAAGAAAGGTCATTTAATACTAGTACCTTCTTAGAGAGATGTTTTGGAGTTGGATAAATTTGTCTGCATTTATCCTCATAAGGTGTTTAGAGAAGTACTTGGTACATCATAGTTGTTTGGCAAATACTAAGTGGTGTGTGTAAACCAGATGCAACCAGCATGAGTTGACTTTACTCTTTTACTCACAGTCTGGCTAGGTAAAAATATCATGGATCTTTTCAGCATCCTGCCTGTAATTTTCATGTAGGTTTTAGTAAAAGCTATTATGGTGCATATTGTTTTATTTTTGTGATTGATTGATAGATTGATTGAGTCTTCCGTCTGCACATTGTAACCTAGATTGTCATAAAACTCCTGGCAACAATCCTTCTGCCTGTTTCCTGAGTGCTGGGATTACGGTCATGCATACAGCCAAGTCTGCTTGGCTCTACAGCACATTATTTTAGGACGAGTTTTTCTCCTCTGTTAGCCATTTACTAGTGTTTATAAAACATTCATTCATTCAACACGCTTTTGTTGATCACTGTGTTAGTTAGATTCCCATCACTCTGATAAAATACCTGTGACAGTCAACTTAAAAAGAGGTCAGTAGTCATGGTCAGCACTCGGGTAAAAGGAGCAGGTGGGTCTCTGTGAGTTCACGGCCACCCTGGTCCCATATAAAGTTCCAGGCCATCCAGGACCACATAGTGAGACTCTAGCTCCAAAAATTAAAATTAAAAAAAAAGAAAGAAAGAAAGTCTGTTGGGGTCCTGGTTTTAGAGGTCTCAGCTTGTGAGAGCTTGGTCCTGGTGATGCAGTCCATGACAGGAGCACATGGCAAAGGAAGCCTGTTTGCCTCGTGCCACCCAGTTGGAGAAGAAAGAAAAAGAAAGAGCCAGGATCCCAGTAGACACTTCAGGGGCACATCCCCATTGGCCTTTCTTACACTAGCCCTACCTCCTGAAGCTTTACTCAGTAAAGCCATACACTGGACCTCAACAGAGGCCTTCAGGGGACCTCTGTGTAGGACACAGCAGACACTGCATGCAGGCACTAATCCAGCTAAGCAGCACACACAACTCACAAAGACACAGACCCACTCTAAGGAGGAACAGGAGACCACTTGCTATGTAAGCTGGGGCCTGCACAGATGGCTTTGGGGTGAAGTGTTTGCTGTGCAAGTGTAAGGACCCGAGTTCAGATCCCTAACACCCATGTACAACCTGTAACCTCAGCACTGGAAGCAGAGACAGGTAGTTCCTGGGGTTCACTGGCCATCCAGTCTAGCCGAAATAGTGAACTCTAGTTCAGTGTGAGACCCTGTCTCAAATAATGAGTGGAAGCCAGGTATGGTGGCACACACCTTTAGTCCTTGCACTCAGGAGGCAGAGGCAGGCAGATGTCAGAGTTTGAGGCCAGCCTGGGCTACAGAGTAAGTTCCAGGACAGCTGGGGCTACATAATGAGAACAAGATAACAACAATAAAAATAAGATGGAGAGTTCTAGAGGAAAACTCCTAACATTGACCTCTGGCCTCTATGCACGCACATATGAGTGAATGCACCTATGCACAAACACACACACATACATACATGCATGGTTCAACAAGATGGCTAAGCAGGTAAAAGCACTTTCTGCACAATCTTAATAACCTGAGTTTGATGCTAAGAGCCTGTGTTTAAAAACAAAACAACCAACCAAAGAACAGATGCTATAGCACACTTATGTAGTCGCAGTACTCCTGCAGTGAGATGGGAAGTGGAGACAGGGACATCACCTGGGCACTCCCAGAGAAATGAGAGGGACCCTTCCTCAACAAAGTGGAAAGAGAAGACCTACTTACAAAAGTTGTCTTCTGACCTCCACGTGTGCACTGTGTGCCTGCAGATGTACGTGTGCACGCACGCTAATGAATAATAAATTTCAAAAGGAAGCCTGAGAAGATCTCTAGGTGGCAGAGATAAACATGCACACTATGGGTAGAAAAAGAGACCACATCATGGGCAGAGTAGTTTCTGAAAAGGTGGGAAGAAAACTACGTGCAAAGGCTTCCTAGCTCAACAAGCTGCTAAAGACTTGTACTTTCATAGGTAAACTCTTTTAAGATAGAGCATGTGTGTGCATGCATCCATGCGTGTGTCCCATGCATGTGTCTTTGACAACACTTTTACATTAGTGTAAAATTACTGGATTGCTGTACATACACTTCCTGGTGTGGTGTCTCCAGGGCAACCTCAGAGCATGCAGATGCTAGGCACCGTGCTGTGGCTGAAATGCAGAAGGCAGTGTACCATCAACATGGTACCTTGCAGGAAGGTATGAAGTGTCCATGTGACTCCTGAGGCCCAGGAGAGAGACCAGAGCAAAAATGCACAAGTCACACATGACCCCTTCTGTTGTCAGAAAGGATCCTGTTTGGGAGGTAAAATAAATAACTAAGTATTTGTGTTTAGATCTAAGCTGGAACCTGAGCCAAATACAAAGAGGAAAGAACCCCCATCTGAGAAAGCCTCACAGAATGCTTCCCAGGACTCGGAAGAAAAGCCTGCCGCCGAGGAGTTGCCAGGTATGAATCAGGACAAAGGTTTTGCTTGGCAGTTGGTCCTTCTGACCTCTTGGCAGGAATACAGAGCAGGGAGAGGCAGCAGTTCCTGACTCATGGTGTGAGCATGGCTGCCCAAAGCAAAAGAAGCGTGAGCCGCAATGTTTAGTCTGAGGAGTCGCCTGTTCACCTGGACCTGAGGAAGGGCTGCTTTCCTGTGCACCAGCTGGAGACTGAGGAGGCACTATCCCGGCTGTCTGCTGAAGAGGGTATAACCCGCCACAGTGGAAGTCTGCACTGGCACAGCCAGCCGCACTGCCCCAGGCTGGAGCATGCTTTGTCCGGGGCCTCCACAGCCAGGCAAGCCCTTGGGACAAGGTGCAAGTATGGGTTTGTGTCTCTTGTCATCACAGATACAGTGATGTCCCTGACAGCGCATGCCAAAGAAATGCAGAGTCTCCTTCAAGTCTGAATGTCACAGACTGTTTGATTATGTGTGCAGTCCATGTGTGCCTGGGTAGGGACGTGTGCTCAGAGTACTGCATCCCTGAGGAGTTAGCAAGCAAGCTGGTTTCACTGCCTAGCAGTTCACTGAAGCCTTGAGGCCTGAATGTCTTATTTGCCGTGTCTGTGGCTCTACATTGCCTCACCTCACTGCATGCAGCACTGGGGTGTCATGAGTCTCCTTTATTGAGAAGACTCTGAAAGGCTCAGAGCCTGGGCTACCTGTCTGAGGTGAAAGCTCATAAATGGTGGGTCCAGGATTCACTGGTATGTGTGTTTGGCTCTCAAGCCCACCTCTATCTCATTTCTTAAGTGTTTCCCATGCACCATGGTTCACCAGCCTGGAGGATACCAGAGGTCCTTTGTGCAATGAGAATAGCACTTTTGGAGCCCTTATGCCTCACATGCTGACTCAATCACAGGCCAGACTCTCATTGACTCTTTGGGGGTGTGCACTATTGTGTTTTGTGGTGAAGAAGCCAAAATTCAGAGAGGTTATATAAGAGCTCAAAGCCCAGCACTGAGGACACACAACAGCCCTCCCCATGGGTGGTTCTGCTTGCACAGTCTCAGCCTATCCCTGTCTGGTAGTTGCTGTGGTCCAGCAGGCAGGAGCTCTGTACGTCTCCTGTGCCCGGGCTTCCTACAATCCATGGGCACAGCTTAGAAGACAAGACAGGAGCATCATAATTAAATTTACTGAAGCTGGACACAGCATCTCATTGTCATTCACCCACTCAGTAAACCCTATGCACACTGGTGAGATCAGGGAAAGCCAGTGCCGACTGAGGACCTCGAGGAAGTCTCATGGGAAGATACCAGGTCTCACCACTGACCTCAAGCCTACATGGCATGTTATGCCAGGCCTTGGCTGGGTGTTGGGGTGTCATAAGTGAGTGGAAATGGCCCTTCTTTGGGCTCATAGGGAAACAAGCGAGGTCCTTATACTGACATCCTTCCATTGTGGTATCTGTGAGTGTAAGGAGAGCAGTGTTGTTCTAGTGCTCTGCCTTAGAGAAACATGATCAGAAGGTTGTCTTCTGACTGGTTTGAGCAGCATACAGGAGACAAAGAACCTGTGATGTGGAAGCACCTGGGCTCCAGCACTCACATCCATGCTCACATGCTCTGCCGGCTTAAACATGGGAGCAAGGAGATCAGCGCTAGTTACCGGGGCTTACTATTCAAAGGAGGCCACCAAGAAGTGCAAAGACAGCCCGCTGAATGGAAAACCATTTATATTGTACCACACGTCTGATGAGGGACTTCCATCCACCTGATGGACACAGATAGACCTCTCAACTCAAAGTTGGAAAATGGGAGAGGATCTGAATGGCAGTTCCTCTTTTTTTTCTTTTTTAATTGAAAAAAAAATGCTCATACAATACATTCTGATCATGGTTTCCCTTCCCCCAACTCCTCCCAGCTTCTGCTCACCTACCCAACACCACACCCTTTCTCTCTGTAACAGACAAACAAACAAAACAGTATGTTTTTAAAAATAAAGGCTGGACGGTGGTGGCACATGCCTTTAATCCCAGCACTCAGGAGGCAGAGGCAGGTAGATCTCTGTGAGTTCGAGGCCAGCTTGGTCTACAGTGTAAGTTCCAGGACAGTCAGATCTGTTACACAGAGAAACCCTGTCTTGAAAAAATAAAAATAAAAATAATAAAAAACACAAGGAACACACACAAATGCAAAAGCCATAAAAAACAGGGAATTAATGGCAGTTTCTTAAAGGAACATCTACTCATGACAGATAAGCCCTTTGAGAGGACCCAGCACCACCAGTGATCAGGGAGCACATGCCCGCCGCAAGGCACCGCACACCTCCAGAGGGGGCAGCATGGAAAAGGCAAACCTGGTCCTGGGGGAGGAGAAATGGGGAGACGTACCCATACAGCCCACATGCTAAGGTAGAGTTTGGACCTCAGCATGGTAGGAATACACTGGGCATTCCAAAGCTGGAGTGTGCCATGGTATGGCTTACATCTGCAAAGCTCGGAAACAGCTGAGAGGTGGTGTGGAAGCTGGCAGGCTGGTCAGGAATTTCTTACAGCAACCCACACATAAGACATTTGCCACCAGGGACCACCCCCACATACACACCCAAACTCACATGGAGCAGAGTGAGGAGTGCTCGGGTTACATTTTGGGGATGGGAGCACTTGGTAACTTACAGCCTTGAGGCTGAAGAGCTGCTGGGCATTGCTGCCTGAGGTGAGTGCAGCTCAATGTGCAATCTGGCAGCAAGGTGGGGGAAGGGACTCCACATGCTGGCCTACAGGGTTGGGCATGAGGTGTCCACTGAGTGTGCAGTGTTGATGGTGGAGTGAGTGAGCAGAGAGGGCTTAGGGCTAGGAGCTTGGAGGATCCTAGGAAACTGGCAGCTTGGAACCATGGCCTGGGTGCACCTTTGAAGAGATGGTAGGGAGGGGAGAAGCAGGCCAGGCTGTCCAGGGAAAGACCTGCATCCAGCTTCCATGTGCTATCTGTTTTCCTGGTTAGGCCCTTCTCCCATCCCGGCCTTGGTGTTGACAGGGAAAATCTTCCACTACAGCCAGGTGCTCTCCTTCCCTAGCTGTGTGTCTGCCCTTTCCTCCATGGCAGTAGAGAGTGTTTCTTCCTGTGGTGGACATGCACTAGGTTTTCTGCAGGAACACTTCAAGCCTGGCCTGTGTAGATGTGTCCTTTGCTTACTTTGCCTTTCAGTATTTATTTCCTTTTGAAACCTGAAATGCTACTTAGACAGCGTGTTCTGGCACAGAACAAGGTGGTACAGCTCTAGGCAAGAGTTGTCTCCTGTCTGTCATACTCCCTCTGCCATTTGGCACTTGCTCATTTAGTCGGCAGGTTCACACCTCTGTTGGTTGGCCTGCCACCCCAGCATTAAGGCCTTTTCTATAAACATTCTACCTGGCAAGGCTGCATCTTCATGTCTTGGTATAAGTTGTTTGCCCATCTTGGTTTCTGGGTATTCAGATATATTTCTCAAGTGAGCCATTGTTCCTGCCCCTGTGGAGTTCACTGTTGCCAGGGAGGATGGGATACCAGCTCCTTGGAGGGAGTAAGGAGTGTCCTAGGAAAAGCAGATGTGGGGACAGACAGAGGGTCCTGACGACCTCAGGAAGAGGTAACCCTGAGCAAGTGAGTCGGCACCCCCCCCCCAAAAAAAAAGAAGCTTAGAAACTTGTAGGTAGACGGAACAGTTAGAGAAAGAAAACACTCAAGAGGCCAGAAATCATGGAGGCCCCTGTGGAACGTAGTCATTAAAGAAGACCCTTGCAGTTAGTGAGGAGCTGTAAGAAATATGGTTGCAGAATGCCCGGGATGCAGGTAGGGCATCTGGCTCTGACTGGTTGGCACAGTATTCTTGAGCACTGCACTTGAGGCTGATTCCTGAGGCCCAGGTCAGGAGGGCTTCAGGTGGCATACAGTTGAACCACCTGTAGAGTACAGAGCTTCTCCATCCTGATGTAGTTCATTCATACTTGGACCCATTATGATGGGGTTTATGTTTCTGATTGGTTTTGTATTCAAAGGAGAAAGGGAAGAAAAGTCTGAAATAGGGACCATACTGAAGCCAAGCAGGAGATCGAAGTCATAGAGGTGCGGGTGGTGGGTGAAAGCACATGGGTTCACACCCAGAGTGTTGCCTCAGAACAGTGCCACTCTGCTGGGGAGTCTGTGATATCGATGTGTATCTCCTTGTCTGTAGCTCTGTTTCTGTTCGGGTAGATGTGTTTCTAATAGTAGCTGCGCCTGTCACACAGGGTGGGCATGATCTGCCTCCCCTTGACTGCTGCTGTTGTGAAGTTTTCTCTGATGCTTTTCCCGATCAGAGCAGCCTGAACTCTCCCTGTCCCACAGGGCTAAGCTCAACAGGAAGTGTACTGGGGCGGAGGAGAAAGGAAAAAGATGCAGCATTTGCCTTTGAGTTCCTGACAAAAGAGTGATGGAGCCCAGGGACACTGAGACACACAGAACGAGAGTCACTCTGGGGACAGATTTGTCCCGGTCTTCACTAAGCAGTCCTTGCCTCCCATCAGGCAGCCCTACGACTATGTGCAGGCTGTACCTACTGCACTGCGCAACAGTTCTTTCTAGGCACCGGTGCTATCGAGGGGCCGTTGTGTGCTTGCCTGGTCATGAACACAAGGCTCTCTAGATTAAAATGTTCATATTCTAGGGTATGTGGCTGTCCTAGAGAAAGACTTCAACTGTGTGGACATGGAGCTGCTGCTGCACATTAGCTAATTGTTCAATGTGGACCATGCTGCAGAACCCCACTCCTTCTGCTGTCTTCTTGTGCCTGTTTCTTCAGCTGCCTGTTCTAAAGGAATAGCTGGCCTTGTCTTTGTACACTTTATGGTTTTGTTTCTTAACAGAAAAGCCTTTGGCCGAAGCACAGCCTGAACTGGGAACCTGGGGCGATGGCAGGGGTGAAGATGAGCTGTCTCCAGAAGAGATACAGATGGTAATGCTAACTGCTTCCTTTCAGCTGCCTGACCTAAGACCTTCAGTGAGTGGGAGGCTGTACAAACGCCCTTGCCCTAATTTGATACTGGGCTTTAAACATAGAAACACATTTTACATACACTTCTCCACTTAATATCCTACTTCCTGTAGGATTTTCATGATTTCAATTGACAGTAGCATAGTAAAACAGAAGTTAGCTTGGTTGGTCTTGCTAAGTGTCTTCACCAGCAGTATAGTCGACATCCAGATTAAGCTAAATGAGTCTTATATTTGCCAAGATGGTGTTTATACTCAGTTGAGTCGCTGGTGCCATGGAAATGAAAGGAAAGCATAGTGATTGATGACTGAAGGATGGCGGGAGCAGCCGTCAGAACAGTGACCGCCTCCTCCTGGTGACCTGCCCCGTGTTAAGTGCTGTTGTTTGTCATCTCAGTCATTTCAGGGGACAGGGTTTTGTTGAGGGTCTCCCAAACGGCAGCCCCTGGCTGTGCAGCCATTGACAGTGAGCATTCTAGGACTCATCAGCTGCCCAGCTCAGGTGGCTGGCTCAGAGCTTCTTACTCTTCAGATTCCCTGCTCCTCCTTCCCTGAAACAGAAAGTTTTCCTTCCAGAAAGTAGCATAAACATGTGAAAACCAACGTGCCAGAAGCCCAGGGAGCCACTGCCTCAAGGCAGAAGAAAGGACTGTGGACTCACAGCTGACTGCAGTCCACCCTGCCTTCATCTGGAGCCTCTGTGCCCTCTCACTGCTCTCAGTGGCAATAACGGCTGCCTCGAGGAGCTGATGATGGAGAGCTATCCCTTGAAGGACATCTGGGAGAGGACCAGACACTTGGGATGTTTCTGACCTGAGCAGTCAGGAGAAGGGCAAACATAGGGCTGGGCATTGGGGAACAGGAGATGAGGAATTCCATGTCAGACAGCCTGGAAGTGCTGTGGACATGGTAGAAGGTGTGGGCTGTCATAGGGTCTAGGGCTTAGTCTAGAGGCATCTTCGAGCTGGAGGACCATGGGCTTAGAGGAGGTTCTTGAGAAACACTATACAGGGATGGGACAAGCCATGAGTGTTCCCTGGGAATGCTGCATTTGAAGCAGGCTGAGATGTAAAAACAACAAATTCGATTGAACACAGTTGGATTGCATTCCTTATCATTGGTTTATACAAAGAACTTTGCTAGTGGAAATGAAGAGGTCTATTACCCCAAATGTTGCAAATTTGCTAGAGCTAATGTGTACTACTCAATCTCTTCATTGAGAAAGGAGACTTTTGTTGAGTGTAAGCAGAATGTATATTTGTGTTGGACCTCACTCTTTTATGTCCCATCATTCTTAGATAGCCAGAATACTCAACAGGGGTTTGCCAGAGGACTTTGCCTTTCTCCTGGAACAGTGATGAACCCCAAAGGTCTGTTAACCTTTGCAGGCACATGACTTAGAAGCCACTGGCAGTGTGGTAGGTAGGCCTGAGGTAGCAATAGTCAGGTGTCTGCCATCTCATGCCTCAGTCCTTCTGAGATGATGGAGAACAAGGGCTCCAGGACCAGGCAGTCAGCTGTGAATCCTCCTCCTCCTCCCCTCTCACTAATTGTCTGCATAACTTGGGAAGTGAATGAGCCTCAATGGACCTCAAGATGGTTACAGTGGATGCCCTTGCAGAACTGTGGGGAGTCACAATTGAGAGCCACTCAGCACAGCCAGGAAGACCGTGTGCACAGTTCACATGACCCACACCTGCCACAGCTGAAGATGAGTGTCAGGACGTGAGGCTCTCGCCCAGGACTGCTGGTGCCAGCTTTCATGTCCTCTGTCCCAACCAGACCATTCCCCAAAAGGCTGGCGTTTGAGCCTGCAGCGTTGGTGACATATAATCAGAGTCTGCAGTGCTTCCTAGTTTGTGTTGTGTTGGTGCAGGTGGGTGGGACAGAAGGATGTCATGAACGTTTATGACAGGCTACTTTGTGTTCAGCTAATGATGTTCTTATTTGGGAGGACTTACTGAGTGTCATGCTGTAAAGTCTTACTAGTCCAAATTCAAAAATCCCAAAAATGATGGGAAAGAATACTGTATTGTTGGTTTTACATTGAAAAGTACTTTAGCAAATTGTGGTCATAGTTCCTAATCAGTCTTGGAACTTCCTTCAGGGTGAAATAATGAGTTAAGTCCTATAATGGCACTTTAATTCATTCATTGAGCCAAAGCAATGCTTGCTAGGCATCGCAGAATGGCTGCAGGAATTTACAGAATGTTTGCACAGTCACTCTCCAGGTGTAAGCCATGTACAGGTGGATGGGCCTTGAGTTAGCAGAGGTTTATGGCAGGCTAAGTAAAACTTGGTTGTTTTCTAATGTCAAACATCAAGAAAATTGCTCCCTTTTAGAGCCCACTTACTTTTATGTGCCATATTCACTTTACTCAAAGTCACCTTTATTTAGTGATGTGTTCATTGAGGTAACTTTGAAAGATATGAGTGGGACCTCTTTCTTGAATCTGTATGAAATGTATCTGTAGCAGTTGTCCCCTGAGGCAGCTCATGGAACCCAAGCAGCCAGCTGGCCCAGCTTTCGTACTGTGACCCAGCATAGTTCATGCATCAAGAACATAGGTGTCATTGGGAGAGTCTGAGTCCTGAGTCCTCACTTTTCTTCTCTAGATGACTTGAGACGGGAATGCTTCATCATGCCTTATTTTCTGCTCTTTGTAAAACTTAGGAAAGATGGGTAGATTAAAAACAGGCTTTCGCCGGGCGGTGGTGGCGCACGCCTTTAATCCCAGCACTCGGGAGGCAGAGCCAGGCGGATCTCTGTGAGTTCGAGGCCAGCCTGGGCTACCAAGTGAGTTCCAGGACAGGCGCAAAGCTACACAGAGAAACCCTGTCTCGAAAAACCAAAAAAAAAAAAAAAAAAAAAAACAGGCTTTCTACAGAAAGATGTTACCAATGGACTTGTGTCCTTTAAACCAGACTAGGGGCCCTTTCACCAAGCCCAGCTAGCTGACCAGTAACAGGAAGAGGGCCGAGGAGCTGTTGCTTGCACACTGTGCTTTCACCATGGCTGCCCTGAACACTTCCACCCGTGCTGTGTTACTACCCTCATTCAGGAGGAGGATTGCAGGCCCCTCTGTGTGGTTAGCTGGAGACACCTGTTCATGGTCACCTGGATCTCAGGCCCTAGATTCTTAGGGTGATGCTGAGAAAGCAGAGGTGGTGGGGCACACCTGTAATCTCAGCACTTGTGAGGTGAAGGCCGGGAGAGCCTCCAATACAGAGTTGAAAGCCAGTATGGGATACATATGAGCCCATCTAAGAGAAAAAGGATGCTGCTGCATGCCAGCCATTCTTCATTGTGACAGATACCTGAGATAAGCTATTCGAGGTAGGAAAGATTCACCCGAGCACATGGTTTCAGAGGGTGCAGGCCATGGTCAGTGGCTCCGTTTGCTCTGGGCCTCTGGTGAGACAGCATCATGGTAGAAGGGCATGGTGGGAAAGAGCTGCTCATCTTACAGCTGCCCCAAGGACATGCTCCTGTTGACCTACTTCTGCCAGCTGGACCCATCCTCAGCTACATCCCTCATCATTCTGAATCAGTTACTGAATAATTAATGATGCAGTAACCTCTCAATGGCTGGATGTGCCAGCTGGAAACCAACTCTTCATTCATCCATGAGCCTTTTCAGGAGAGAATTGATATCCAAACATAGCACATTAAGTGATAAGTATCTCTTAGACTGTGGTCACATTGCATCTCTGGGCATCTAGACATCCTGCTGTGGTGCTGACCACAGAGACCAGGAGTTTGGTTCAGCACTGTGCCTGGCCAAGTCCCTACTTAAGTGAGGAAGCAGCGTGGCCGCATAGTTAGACTGACCTAAAATGGACTATGTGCATTTTCCAGAGCCTGACAGAGCGAAACAGCCAAGGGCCACAGCTGCCCTGTTGAATGTGAGGTCAGCCAGGGACTGTCAGGTACCTCACCGCTCACTTCACCTGTCTGGAGTCTGTCTCCAGAGAGTGCTCATGTAGACAGCACACATGTTTTAATGGCCTCACTGTCCAAGGCCTTTTGTCCTCATTTTGGTGACAGAGGCCGAAGGACAGTGATTAGATTACTTACCTACCTGAAGATAGCTTCACAGGAGAAGGAACTGGAATTCCAGCTGTGACTACACCTCAGTCAGGAAAGGGTAAGGCTCACAACTGTCCACAAAAAACTGATGGCCATTGAGAAGCTGTTGACTAGCTAGGGCCACCCAACCATTTTCATGGGGCTTCACATGGGTTTTCATACCCATGGGGTATATGAGTGCCTGCCCTTGCCACCCAACCTTTGGGGCAGGCTGGCCATTCAGAAAACCACCCTGAAACCAGCACCAGTGAACATCCACACCTGGACCCCACTAGACTTCAGAAAGTGGTGACCTTGCACTTGCTTAGAGCAGTGGTCCTCAACCTGTGGGTCACAACCCTTTGGGGGTTGAATAACTCTTTCACAGGGGTCACCTAAGACTGCAGGAAAACACAGATATTTACATTATGATCCATAACAGTAGCAAAATTACAGTTAGGAAGTAGCAACGAAAAATCATTTTCTGGTTGGGGGTCCCCACAACCTGAGGAGCTGTATTAGAGGGTCACAGCATCGGGAAGGTTGGGAAGCACTGGCTTAGGGAAACAAGGTTTTGGAGGTTTTGACCATTTATTTGTTTTTGTGAACTCCATTTCATTTTGACCTGCCCTGCAGTGCTGCTCTCACCAAAGCTGCCGACCACTGTCAGCCCCCTCTCTTCACCCCTCACCACAGGGCTGGCTTGAGGCATCTGCTCTTTTCTTTGAGAGGCTGGCTGTTTCTGAGATGGCATACAGAACCCCTGGGCTCAGGGGAACCAGAACCAGAGCCTGGCCCTGGAGCCCATGTGACTCTTTCAGAAGTAACAGCTGCTGAGGCTTAGAGAGGCAGTGCAGCCCGGTACCTCCTGCCTGGACCTGAGGAAACCAGGAACAAAGGCAGGCAACATTCCAGTAATAAGTCACCTAGACTCATAGTTAATTGTGTTTAGGAACAGTTTCAAAGTAACTGAGAACAAGATTTAAAAGGGCAGGACCATATTTTATCATTAGGGGGAAAAAAAAAGAAAGAAAATACCTCCCTGGAAAACAAGCCTACCCATACCTGAGGGGATTAGTGCAGGTAAATTAGCACCTACAGCTGAAGTAATTACACATTCTGAGGAAACACTGGCCTCCTAAGTCACTGCTGAGCAACAGTCAACAGCAGACACTTTCTGGCTCAAAAGTGAATGTTTTATTCTCTTACGAGGTCTCTTTGATGCTTAATGAAAAGAGCCATTAGCAATGCTGTGTCCAGGCTACAAGGCAGCCTGCTATGGCTCAGGAGTCCTGCTGGGAACTGCCCCACCCACCTGCACCCTGTGGAAGTGGCAGAGACTGCCATCGCAGAGGTGGGCAGTAGCCAGATCACATCTACTTTAGGCCTCTTCTGCCGGGCCAGGCAAGGCCAACAGGGAAAGTATAGGGTAGACTTGGTACTTATTCTGAAAAATACAGTAGTGCATACCTCTACCAGTAGGGCAGCCCTAGTGCTATCACACAAGATTCTCAAGGATCACAGGACTGTCCTTGTCACAGACCAAGTAGCCTGCCAGCCTCTGCTGCACAGTCTTCCACACACCAAGTTCTCTGTCTAAAAATGTTGCCGCTAGGGCTAGGTGGCAGCCCTGGGCTCCTGGCAGAAAGGGTGGGAGCTGCTGCGCCTGCCTTCCTCTGTCCAGCAGCTAGGATCAGCTGCTTCTGGGTGCAGCTGTGGGAGGGACTCTGCAAGCCATTGCAGCTCGGCGGGTCTTTGGGTGGACTAGCGTTTTCTTCCTCGAGTATGGTATTTTTCAGAGAGTCTTCTGACAGTGCCCTGTGCTGACCATTGGGACTGGGCAGTGATCCTTAGAAGGTGGGTGGAAGGCCAGAGGTTCCCTGTAGCCCCTTTCTTGAGCTCCATTTGATGTCATGAGTGTATGTGTTTCTTTGCAGTTTGAACAAGAAAATCAGCGACTCATTGGTGAAATGAACAGCTTATTTGACGAAGTGAGGTGTGTGTATAGCTAATGTCTTGATGGCAGCTTTTCCAGACACTGCAGGCTTTTTCCATTTGCTTTGGCACCCAAGCACCCATATGTAACTGGGTGGGACTGGCTGGGCCTGTGGGAAGAGACTGACTACTACAGCAGGCTTATGGGTACTACAGCATGCAGAAAGACAGATCACCCCAAAAGTGGGACCACACCCACCACCTCAGGGCTCCTTAGGTGGAGTAGCTGTAAAATATAGTAGAGCCCTTGTGACAGGTGCTTGCACCAATAGTGTCTGCTTCCAGGTGACCAGGCTCACACTCACTTGTCTGGAGCCTCCAGTGAGCTCACTCAAGGGCCTTTGTCCCCCAGGAGTGCTGTAGTGCTCTGAAAGCAACAGCTGGGTCTTTGATAGCCCTGTTGTATTCAGGGTACAGCCCCTCCCAGCCTGGGGACTTACTCTGGGCAGGGCTACTCCCCTTGGAGAGCCCCAGGGGTTTTTGTCCCAAAGGCGGCTCTCCAAGGCCTCCCTTTTCCCAGCCTAGCTCTCCTTGTCCTCACCCACCTTGCTATTCCTTCCCCAGACCCGAGAGTGCTCCTTCCCTGTCTCCTGCCTGCCTTTCCCATTCATGTTACCTTTCTCCTCCTGCCACTGACTGATCACCAGCTGTGCTGGAGCAGTTCATTCAGCCTGAGCCAGCTTCCACTTCAGACCCATACAGCCCCAACCCACCCCAGGGTGCCCCAAGCTGCAGGAAGCCGGGGGGGGGGGGGGGGGGGGGGTAAGGGCTCACCCAGTGTTTCAAGTTGGGCAAGCGCTTAGGTGCTAAACCAGATGGGGTGACCACAGACCGAACTGGGGCGTTTTCTTGCACAAGGAGCTGGCTTGGGAGGGAAATGTACCTTTTTGACGATGGGCTGGCTTTCCAAGTGACCATGCCTTTTGATTCTCCAGCATGCATCAGGCAGTAACTGGGCTATGCCGAGGACTTCCTGGGCCTGCCCAGCTCCTCTCCCCGTCTGGAGTGGCTGCCCATCTTCTGTTGTTCTCACCTTGATGGTGCCTTCAGGAATGTAGACCATTCCTCTTCGATTACCAGGAGCTACTAACTAACATGTCACCTATTGATTCTTTTTCCAAGGCAAATCGAAGGGAAAGTTGTTGAAATTTCCAGACTCCAAGAGATATTTACTGAAAAAGTTTTGCAACAGGTAAAAAGACCCAAAGGCCCCGCAGTTTTGAGTTTTGGCTTAGAGTTGACTGAGAGCTTAGAACCCTCTTCCAGAAGCATCTGAGTGGTGCAGATTAGGCAGCATCATGTTTGCTTAGCCAGTCACACCACTCAGAGGTCCCAGGTAAAGCTTCCTGTCACCCCCAGCATCCCTCTGGTACAGCTGAGGGCTCTGTCTGGGGACCCAGCGTAGAGCAGAGTGGCCCCTGTGAGCTAGAGTATTTGGTGGTAGTAGGAGGGTGCAATCCGGGACTGGAGTCAGGCAGCCCCCCCACACCATTGTACCCCATCTGTAGAAAGGCGTGAGACTGAGGGCTGCTGTTCTGTTCACAAATCAGCACAGACGAGCCCTGCACAGTGCAGAATGCAGAGCTGCTTTCGGTCCACAGTGCTCCAATGCTGCCTCGGGAACACAGTCGGATGGGGTAGGACTGGTTCAGGTGACCTTAGTTAGGACTTTAGCACCCAGGGACTGTAGAAGACTTTCAGAAAAAACACCTCTCTCTGCCTCTGGGCTGTTGGCTCACTCACAAAACAAGTACCTGAACCTCACAACAGAGTTGAGTCAACATGCACAAGGTAGAAGCCAAGGACAGTTAGGAGTTCAAGGTCATGAAAGTAAGATACTCTTCACAGAGTTCTTAAAGATCTACCCAAGCCATGTATGTGGAGGCCATGAAGCCTGGAGACAGGCTTTGTGCAGACACCTTGGCCTGATGGCCACGTCAGCTGCATGACACAGGAAGCCATCAAAGCAAGCTCCTTCTGGCATAGCAGCTTGCTGTGAGGAGAGCTCTCCTTGACCGAAACACCCAGCCTACAGGGTGGTCAGACTTCAGTCTGGACGCTCCACCCTGCATGCCATGGCCGGTGCTTCTCCTAAGCCCCACTCCTTGTCTGAAGTAGAACTGGTGAGCCCTGCCTCACTCTCAGAACCAATAAGCAGGACCACTGGCCCATGGCAGGCCTTTTAGTGGGACTCTGACCAAGCCAGGGAGTGCCCTGCTGTAGTAACCCAGCATGCCACTGGAATCCGCCCTTTACCTGGTGCTCAGTGACACGCCCTGACCAGCCACATGTAGGAAAGGGAGTCATGGTCTCTTAGGCTCCAGTACTCAGCCTTCTAGCATGAGGGGCCAGCTGCCACAGCAGTGACTGCACCAGAGGCCTGGGCAAACTGCTCCCCTGAGAGAAGAGAGCTGCCCCCGGGGAGGTGGCATGCTTTAGGGGTTGCTTGGTATCCCTCTAGAGTCCAGCCAAGGGCTTTGTGGACTGCTGGGGCCTCAGAAACCTTGTTTATATCAGTGTTGGGGGCTGTTTATGGCAAACCCCTCAGCTCCTGGCCTGATATTCTCCACCAGGGTATCACTACCCACGTGCACTCCAGTGATGTCACTATTAGGAACTGGGTGGGTGAAGCCTGCTTTCCATTCTGCAGCGTTCTATCAGGCAGGGCTCCCTAAAAGCCCACATTAGGGCACACCTGCCCGCCCCGCAGCAGGGAGATCAAAGGCAGTTCCACATGGCTGGTGTTTTAGGGTCTCCACACGTCCATGTTCTCAGCATCTGCCCAGGGCATTTGCGGCCAGCAATTCCTATCTTGTTTGAACTCTTACCCTTCAGCAGTGTGTTAAAGCATGCTGTTTGGGTAGCTAGTGTGTTTCAGAGTCTGTAACATTTATAGCTGGCTTCTAGACCTTATAAAGAATAAATGGAATGCAGGAAGAGGGCCCTTGGTGGGAGTGGCCAGTCCAGAATCAGCAGGTCATGTTTGTCCTTGTCACTTGACAAGTGACACACGAGAAGTGATAGGTGGTACCAGTGCAGGCTCTATGGCCCGACAAGAGCCTTACCCTAGTCCTGCCCCTCGGGTACTGTGTGGTCTCCTAGAAGCTAGTGAACATCTCCGAGCTGTAAGTTTCCCTGTCTTTGTGTTGGGTGATACTCACGCTCAGGCAAGGATTCCCAGGCTGTGTAGGTACAGCCTCTAGAGCTTGAAACATGGCAGCAACTACTTGCAGAAGGCTATCTTCTTGGTGGAGGAGGGAATGGTTGGGCTTATCTGACACTCTTCCTACAGGAAACTGAAATTGACAGCATTCACCAGTTAGTTGTGGGGGCAACTGAAAACATCAAGGAAGGCAACGAAGACATACGAGAGGTGGGTACCTGGGGCTCTCAGGTCAGAGTTGGCACAGCACTGTTTCCCAGCAGCCCGAGTCTCACTGGTGAGGCTGTCCAAGCACACTGTGTAGCACTCAGGGCCCATCCTGCAGCTCTAGTCATGGGTTTATGGTCAAGGCCACCCTAAGTGCATGTGTTCATAGACCTGCTGGCTTACTTTCAGCTCATCTTCAAGAGAAAGTAGTTCTGGCCCTGCAAGAACAGTGTGGGTGGAGAGCATCCAGGTAGGGCCAGGACAGTCTGAAGCCAAGGATAAGCCCACTGAGAGCAAAAGCCAGAAGCTGGAGGGCACCCAGCCCCGTGAGCCAGTGTCTCTAAAGCCCAGACCTCCTGGCTGGCCCACTCTCACCACAGACAAGAGCATCCCTGGGAAACCTGAGCCCTGGTTCAGACCTGGGGAGCGAGGCCTGGGAGGCTAGGCTCTGCCCAACAGAAGAGGATGAAAGGCAAGGGCTCGGTGGGTAAAGGTGCTTGCTGCCAATCAGGATGACCTAATTTTGATTCCTGAAATCCACCTGGTACAAGCACAGAAATAACTGTGGCCCTACACTGGACACACACCGTGACATGCATTCCCACCTACCCACACACAGAGATAAACGTAATCTAAAAAATGAAATGCAAGGCATTTGTTCTCTGTCAGGTCTCCATGCGTGGTGACTTTTGTTCTCACTTAAGCCATCTGTCTAAGGAGAGCGTGGGATTCATGGAGGTGTACGTGAAAGAATGGGACACTTAGGGCTTCCGAAACCAGTCCCGGGTGGTGCTGACACCTGTGTTCTTCCTACCAGGCCATCAAAAACAACGCCGGCTTCCGAGTGTGGATCCTCTTCTTCCTCGTGATGTGTTCCTTCTCCTTGCTCTTCCTTGACTGGTACGACAGCTAGCCCACGAGGGCTACCCCTGTGTCTGTGCTGCTGTCCCAGACACACACACCATGTGCCAGCATGTGTCTCTTCTGTTGTGTAGCTGTGTAAGATCCAAGGGCTGGGGAGACATGGCCCCCAAGCCAACCTTTGGAACCTGTCAGGACCTGGAAACGTGTGGATTGAAAGTGCCCTAGGCGGTCTTCGGGGGCAGAGGATAAAGGGGTGAGGCAGTCAGGAGTGGCACCTCCTGGAGGACCACAAGCATGGCAGGGCTGAGCAGGACAGGAATACGGCACTCCTGCTATCCCCGTTACAATGCTTGGGGCCTCGTCTCCTGCCCTTCCCACACCAGTAGCTTCAGGGGAGAACATGCCTAATGTTTCTAAAGTCATTGGTTCTTACTTCCTTGTGGCGTCTAATGTGTGCTGATATGTGGCCATTTTGTCAAAGAAAACAATTCACATCTGCCTTGTCAAGCTAATAAATGCAATTAGAGCCACTTATTGCAGTCAGTGAGTCTCCACTGAGCAGCGCTGGCTGCCACCTGGCTGGACAGGCAGACTCTGGTGCCCTCCACTAGACCTCTCTCCTGCCCTGGCTCCCAGCATGTGAACAGCAAAGCAGGGCCCAGGGCATGTGAAGCCTGGTTTCCTGCCTCTGGGTCCTAGAAGCTCGTGTTCCAAGAAAGGTGTGGATTTCAGAAGAGCGGGCCTTCTGCCCTTGTTCCTGCGTATCTAGAAGAGGCCACGGGGTTGCCTACTGAGAACTGGAAGTGTACAGCACACGGCCTGCATCTGTGCAGACTATCCTGGTGTCACCCAATTCGTGCTGAAGCGCATGAGTACAGACAGTCCAGTGTGCGGCTCAGGTACCCACGAGCTCTTTATTTGCTGAGTGAACGTGAGAAGTTACATTGGGGGATTGACAGTGGGTGAGGTGCTGCTGCTGCTGCTGCTGCTGCTGCTGCTGCTACTGCTCGACTCCGTGGTCACTGAGTCAGATCCTGTGCAGGACAAGCTTTGGCACGCTTATTGCTCTTCATGCATTCCTCACAGCTTCCCAACGCCCTTCAAACATGTGACTGTGTGGATCCCCCACCCCCACCCTGTGCTGAGCTCAGGGTCTTTGTTTCGGAACACTCCAACAGTAAAGTATTTTGTCTCAGTAGCACACCTCAGGAAACAACAGTGTAGCTGACGGTGGTCACTGTGCTTGTTCACAAAGGATCTCCAACTATTTGCCATTTATTTCTGACCTACTAAGGAACATTAAAACTTCTGACATGCCCACTGGAAACAACACAGTCTGAGAACACGGAAGAAAACAACCATGAATAGCTTTTTCTATTTAATTGTCTTACACATTTAGTTTACCTACTGGTGATTTTGTAAACATATACTTTAATGTCAAGATTCAGATTGAAACATAAACATACTTTTCTTACAAAGATTGTGGACTCAAATATTCTCTTTGCAAGGTGCCACATCAGCCCCCCACCAGCCATCCTGCCCCTTTCTCACAGCACAGGAGTCACATCTGTTCACAGATTAAAAGCTAAATAGCCTTGGCTTACCCAAAATTACATTTTCACTTTGCCCACCCAGCTAATAAAACGAAAAACCAAAATCGCCTGCATTACAGGGCTGTACGTGCAAACATATTCATAACAGGAAAGAAAAGGGCCGGTGGGGCTTCTTCCTATCTAGCACATCACCAGCAGACAGCCCGCCCACCCACAGGAAAACAGGCTCTGCAACCCTTGGCCCAGAGCCAGCTCCTCCCACCCCATCCTTGTACTCTGCTTAGTGCACATACCAAAGAGAACCTCCCAGAAGTGCCCTGGCAGGGGCTGGCGGGGCTGCATTGTAGCGCACACTTCCCTTCTCTGTGCCACTTAACAGTGCATCTTGGCAGCTGGCACTGCTGCCAGCAAAGCACGGGATCACTCTAGATATGGCTATGGAGGGAGGTCTGCAGATAGCAAAGGGGCATAAAAGAAAAAAGAAACCCACCAAACGCACTGCTCTGATGGCCAGACCCCTGGCATAGCCAGTGTCAGTTCTCTTTGGACGGCATCCAGTGAATCCCAGTGAAGGAGCTGAATGAAGACTCCTCAGCATGGACAGTGGCCTCAAGCTCTCTAAGCAATGCTGAGATGCGCTGGTTTCTATGCCTGTGGGTGGTCCGCAGCAAGTTTTATTTGCAAAGCAGCATTAGCAAACAGAAGCAATTGCACCGTAAATGAGTAACCTCTAAATTATCGGTAATTATATTTAATGAAATGTCCCTCAAAGTCCCTTTGTTGCCTTCAAGTGACACATTGTAAGGAACCCGCCCAGCTCGCTAAGCTGACTTCTCCGCAGCTTCGGTCTCCTGTTCCGACAGCTTCTCTTCTGACAGAACTGACATCCATGGTGACACGGAGCGTGTGATACTCTGCTTGGCCAGGTTGTAGTGGTTTATAACAGTGTAAAATTTCTCCCGGGCACTGGAGTCTTGCTCCGTGTAGTAGCTCTCCAAGCCTTCTGGAATGCACTGGGTGTTCTGTAAGACAGGAGGCCGTGGAGATACAGGGGGTGCCAGCGTGTGTCTGCAGTGAGTATCCCCGCAATGGCCCCTAAGCATCTTCTCTGAGCTTACAGGAATAAATGCTAAACAAACACTAACAATGGACAGATGAAGGGGCCTGCCCTGCGAGGGCATAGCCGTCTTAAAGATTGGCTGTGCTGCAACGGGCACCTGGGCTCCCAGGTTAGAGGGAACAGGCCGCGTGCCTCCCTTCACCAAGTCTCTAATTGGCTGATTGACCTTGGCTATTCATCTATTAGAAGCAAGGACACTTTTGACATGTCTACAGACAATCCACCTGAAATAAGAGGAGGAGCACCAAGGAAGGCTTTCTTGGGGGCCAGTGAATTGGCTCAGTGGGTAAAGATGTTGCCAACACTAGTTCAATCCCCAGGACCTGCATGGTAGGAGGAGAGAACCAGCTCCTGCAAGTTATCCTCTGAGCTGAGCCGTGCGGCTGGTGTGGCAGCCGGTGACTAACCTGCCTAGAGCCCTCTAAGGCCGTGACTAACCTCGAGCCAAGAGAATCTGAACGGTTGTAACAAGCAGCTCTGGGGCTGGCTCCCAGAGAGCAGCTGTGTCCCTCCAGTGTCCACATCTCCCCTTCTCAACCGGCTCCGACTGCCCAGAGAACAAAACCTCAAGAGCCACGGGGCAGGGAAAGATGGAGCCAGAGCTCCAGATGAGTGAGTCCTTGTACTGCCTTCCAGTTTGGACTCTGAGACCAGCAGTAAGCTTCCCACCCTGTTGAAGTGACTGTTACTTGTGGCTAGCCACCCGAAGCATGCTATCACCAAGCCTGCTGGGATAGGAACGTGAGACCCCACAGTTGAGTCAGAGGTGGAGCCCTTGGTGACCACCCATTATCTGGGAGTTTTAAACCCATATATTCATCTCTGGGTGGAGCCCAGAGTGGCTTAGCAGATCTGTGCTGAGTCCATCTGTATTTCAAGTGTCTCCCTGAGGAGTGTGAGTCCAGCATCCCAGCCAAGGCCACAGTCCAAGACCCACTCCTGTTAGAAGAGAGCCCTTCCGGTTTTCACCCTATGACACAATGCTCAGTTGTTCTCTTGGATGACCTAGTGTCTCCATCCTCAACCCCAGGCTAGCTCTCCAGTGTAGTGGGCAGGTAGCCCAAGATATCAGGGAGGAGGAGCTCCTGGGAACTTCCTCTCGGCTGAGTCTGAATGCCAAGGGCAGGTTCATAGGGCAATCCAATTGGGTTCCCTACCCTAGAGAATGTCCTGTGGCTCTCAAGCCTTCTTCCCTCCCTCTTCCCTGAAAGAAGTGGACAGCAGTGTGCACCCACATGCAGGCTTCCCTCTTGCCTACGCCAGGTCTGTGCTTTTCAGGCCAATTCTCTCACTGTGAGGTTCATGCCACTCAGTCCATTTTATAGGTGGGAAAGTGGAGTCCAGAGAGGTGAAGAAGCTTGCTGAAGCAGATTTGAGAACCACCCAAGCATGAGAACACAGTTGCAGCTGGGACCTCCAGTCAGCGTCGTCCACCACCACACACTGGGCTACCCTTCCAGGGGGTCAATCCCTGATTCCCCACCCAGCTCAAGGACATACAGACTATGAAACAGACCTTTCCATTGTCTCCATCCCGAGGACAGTGGGTCCAACTTGGTGTTTTCCAGTATCAGCCACTGGCATGTACGGTCCAGATAGTACTATTAAGTCCCTGCCTTGGCACACATGGCCTCAGGAGTGCAGGCCAACTCAGCTTAACCACCTATGCTTCCTGGTTTTCCTGCCCCCCCCCCAACCCTCAGAGGTAGGGGTACAGCACTCAGGGTGGCTCGGGCCTGCACAGTGGGAGCATGAGAGGATGGCACTCCAGTAATCCCTGGTGCCAGGGTCAGGGGGAGACCCTTTCCCAAAAGAGGAAGACAAGCCATTACCCTGGCCTCCCAGGTGTTTGGTCTTGCTCAGCCAAAGGCCACTGCAGCTGGGATGTACTCTCACCCTCTGAAGCCTGCCTCACTTGACGTTGCTCTGCTGCTGCTGCTGCTGCTTGGTGTAACAGGGCTGAGCATCAAGTATGCTGATGGAGAAAGGAGGCTGGAGCATGGAGAGCAGCCATGTGGGCAGATCTGGAAGCTACTTGGGGGGGTGGGTCCTGCTCTTTCAGAGTGAGCCCTCTCTCCTAAGGACCCCTCCCACACAGAGCCTGCTCCAGGTACAGGGCCCGGACTGTGGGCAGTGGTCAGCAGGTGCCTAAGAACCCACACAGAGCCTAAGCCATGGGTGCTGGTTAACTTAGCCCTGCTGGTCACTCAGCAGGGTCGACTGGCCTTTCCAGGAGGGGAAGATGGCGGTAAATAAAGAATCCTGGTAGAGCGGCCAGCATGCAGGGCTTGCGGTCCTCACTGTGGGGTCTAGGAAGGTGATGAATGGTAAGACGAGAACAGCGCAGTGCAGGCAGGGCCCAGTGAGCACTCAGGAGCCTGTGAAAATACGAACAGGTGGCTCCAGCCTCATGGCCATCTTCTTTTCTGGGCTGCCACCCCTTGTGCCTCTCCCCTCAGAAGTGCCTCCATCACTGGGGAGGTAGCTAATGATGTAAAGGCTCAGCCCTTGCCTGTGGAGACTGGGGTCTCCTTAGCAGCTCACTAGATCCTGAAGTGTAAAGCTTAGAAACACCAGCAGGCTCCCGGGAGTGCTGACAGCTAGTTCAGAAGAGGCCCAAAGCAATGGAGGGTTCTTAGGTACCCTGCCCTTGGTGCAGCACTTCAGGGGATAGCCCTGGCTACAGACAGAGCCTAGCTTTAGGGCCAGGCCCCAGCCCCAGCTGAGATCTCATGTGCTCTTTTCAGAGCCTTAGTCCCCTCATCTTTAAAATGGAGCGAATGTGCCACACAGCCTGGCTGCTTTTGTTGTAAGGGTAAAAGTCAGTGTGGGACAGCTCAGAAAGAAGTCAGCGTGGGGCAGCTCAGAAAGAAGTCAGCGTGGGACAGCTCAGAAAGAAGCCAGGGTGTGGCCAAAGGTGATAAACAGAAAAGACGAAACGTTCCAAGAACCCTCCAGAGTACAGCCAGCTTGGTGCAAGGAACCCCCGCACCGCAGAAGGAAATGGCTGTGCGGGCCAGCTGGGACTCTACAGCTGACCACGCTCCTCTAGCCTGCACCGCCACCCTCACTCTGTCCTCCACGTATCCCTCGCGGCTCCTTGGGGAAGTGGGGGAAGGCTGCAGTTACCATCTTACTCCCGTGCAGCCTGGCACCCAGCACAGGACCCTGCTAGAGCTTTGCATGCAACCAGGACCTGAGGAGCAGCGACTGCCTGGAGCAGGCGCGGGGGGGGGGGGGGGGGGGGGGGGCATCTAAGGGCAGCGAGGACATGGCCCTGCCCTCCAGACGCCTGGCTGAGAGAGGACAGCAGGTGGTGTCTGACACCTCCCATATAACACAGCCACCAAAAGACGCTGAGAGGCCCTCTGAGGGGTCGATGGTGTCACGAACCGCAGAAGGAGCTGGGGCACGGGTGTTCAGTCTATACCCATGTGGTAAAAGAAATAAAATACGAAGCCTAGGTCACCTATCGGGGTGTCTTGGAAGGAGCATGACTGTCATATGGCCTGGGCTAGGTCACTGCAGAGTGTGGACAGGGTCTCGCTATGGCCCAGGCTGCTTCCATCTGAGGGCAAGGATTGAAGGCACACATCACCACCCTGACTCTGCTTTTACCTGCCTCCACACACTCCTCAGCTTGGGCCATTTGGCTGTGGCAAGAGGGCTTCTTGGTAGGACTCAGGCTTCTGGGGTCCCCCCCCCCCCGGCATCCTATCCAGCCAGATTCCCAGGGCTCAGCTGGTACACTTAAAGAGGCTTCTAAAAGGTGTATGCCGAAGAGTTGAAGGAACTGAAGGGCATGACCTTGGGCATGATCAGGAGCCTCTGAACCCTGTTTCCCATTGGTAAAAAGGAGGAGACACACACCCCCTTAGGCCCTCTGGGTGCATCCAGGGTGAATATGGGTCACAGCCCTCGCAACCATCCCTCAAGTAGATGTGGAATGTGCATATGCCTGAGCATGGAAGGAGGAAAGCCTCCCCCACCCAGCACCTTACACCTCCTAGCTGTATCATCCAGACCACCAACTCCCACCGCCATTAAGTGGACACTAGTGGAAACTGTACAAGCCCACAGCAGCGCACTTGCAGAGCTGCCTATGAGCTTCTGAATTCCCAAGGGGCTGAGGACTGCAAGCCCTGTAGGGCCTTTTATCCATGCAGATCCTGAGTCCCCTCCACACTGCCAGGAATCTGATCTGAACTCAGCCTGGATCCCGGCCTTCATCTTCATCATCACCCCTCTGCACCAGCTTCTCCCACAGCACTTGGGTTTGCCAAATGGAGCCAGCAGTTTTAGCCTCTTGCGCTGGGCAGGGACCTGCCCCAGACCAGAAACAATGGGCAAGACAGGAAACCCAGGAGAGCTCTGTGTTTAGTGGAGTGCTGGCCTGTCATCTGTGAACAATGGCTGCAGTAGGGAGCTGTCCCTTGCCTATCCTGTTTCTCACAGAGGCACCACTGCTTCCTATATCAGCCTCTGAGTCACCCAGCTTTGGGCCAGGTCCTCCCCTTCCGTCCCTCCTGGCCTGCTTAATTCAGTCTTCCTGTCCATCCACTGCCATCCTGGTCTGCCTCTCACATGTGTCTGCCATCCAGACCGTCTTTCCAGCCCCACTGTGGCAGCCTCCTCCATCAGCTCCTGCCTGCCTCTCCCAACTTCCAGGTGACCCAAGGAATTATCCTCATCACACTCCTTTTCCTGGGGCCTTTGCTAGGCACTCAGGGTGCTGAGCAGTGTACGACCTGGCTGTACCTGGGCCACCCTCCCACCAAGCACACCCCAGTCTGCCTGCTACTCTCAGCACTCCGTCTCCTACTCTGCCCCATGCTTGCTCCAGAAGCTGCCCCAGTGTGGACCACCTTCTAGAAAGGGCAGACCCGCATACTCCATGCCAAGTCCTCCTCACTCAGTATGTACATGCCTGCCTGCCTCATGTTTCTTGAACCAGAAGGGCTTCAGGAAGCGGTCCTTGCATCGGTTGCTCCTGACTGTAGCCTAGCACCCTGAGCAACCAGAGTTGTCTACGGTGGCAGGTACCCACAATCGCTGCAGGAGGAGGGAAGGGCTGAAAGTCAGAAGCCCTGAAGGACCTCGTGGTGTAAATGGAGGAGGAGGAGGTCCTGGCTGGGGTATGTGAACTCCCAGCTCTTCTAACTTGCTCTGCCAGGGAACTGAAGTTTTGCCTCAGCAAAACCCAGACCCAGCCAGCCAGCAAAGATCCACGAGCCATTTGGGCTAGCACACACATTCAGTGCCTGCTCTATCTCCCCTTCAACAGTGCCAAATCCTGCCCAGGACCAGTTTCCATCAGCTGGAAAGCGCAGACCCAGACACGAGTGAGGGGCCATGGAAACCCGGAGCGAGTGGGCCACACCTCTGCTCTGCTCCATCTCCTGCCTCCACCCCATCTTCCCTCCCTCGGTTTCGCTTCCTCGGTCCTCTGGTCCTCCGTCCTGTGGTGTAAATGCATCTGTGCCAACAGCAGGCTCGTGGGAAGGAGGCACAGAAGCGGAGAGAACATTTCCATGTGCACATAAAGTCCAGATGCCAACATGGCCCCTGCGGTGGAACCCGCAGGAGAGCCCAAGAGCAGCCTGTAGGCAGGAGGGCCCCTTTGTGTGGCTTGGGGCACGGCCTTTCTCTTGATCACTGTCTTCCACCCCCACCAGGTCCTGGAGGGAAGTATCAGCTGGCACTTCTGCACCAAGGGGACTCTTCCCCAGGGATAAGCCAGGGGTTCTCTTCACAGTGACCCTCTGGTGCCTTCAGCCTCCTTGCCTGGCTGCCCAGGCAGGGCCTTCAGTGAGGACCCTCCCACTGCAGTACACAGCCAAGGCCCTACTGCTATAGGGCCCTAGGATTGTGGAGGGAAGGGGGCCCAAGGCACCCCCAGGGGGCTAAGGCCTTACCTTCAAGACAAACCCATCAGGGCAGGAGCGGTCATACTTGTACACCTTGTAGACGACCAGGAAGACGACACAGGTGAGGAAGGCCAGGGCAAAGAGAACCAGCACAGAGACCTGTGGGAAGAGGCAGAGGACACGATGGGGCTGCGGAACAGGTGACAGACAGGTGGAAAGCTCTGTGCACAGACACAAGAAGGCCTCGCTAATGGCCACATGGCTCCCAGGCAACTTGGACACTTGACAGAGAAGTGGAGCTGGGCTGCATTCAGGGCCCCGACTTACAGAGCTGAGCACCTGTCATCTAGGGAACAGCTGCTCCACAGATCTCTCTGGGCACCGGTCTCAGTGCGAGGACACTGTCACTCGGACCCCAGGCTACCCTCATGTTGAAACCACATAAGAGAAACAGGAGCTCTGTCCTCAACCTCTGCCCTCTATAGTGTTCTGAGGACAGAGACTTACGTTTGGGTTTCCTTAGGGCATAAGCGGCTCATTAGAATGCCCAGCACTAGGTAGGCACAAAGCTACGATAGTGTAGGTGAGACGTGGCTCACAGATGTACAAGTAACAGAGGTCAAACACCACAAGATGTTGCTAGATTTGGGCCTGGAGATGTCTGCCTGGCTGTTGGGGAATATGGAAGGGGCAAAAGCATGTCATGAGGTGAGAGAGGAGTGAGGTGGAGAAGCATGGGAATGGTTCAGGATCCCTGGACAGACCCTAGGAGCCAGCATGTGGCCCAGGTACCATGGGCACCAGTATGGGAGTCACTGCTGGCTTCCTACCGCCCACCCCAGCAGCCAGGAACTGTCCCCCATCTCTGGATCTTTCTGCTCCACTTTATTCTGCTTAGGTGACCCATCACTAACGCTGCCACCAATCCATCTGAAGAACCTGTGTTGTGCATAGAGCTCATGCGTGCTACAGGGGCAGACACGGTGAACCATGCGGTCTCAGTCTCAGGGCTCAAGGCACCCATGGGGAGTGGTGACATTGGCGAGAGTCTGTTGGCAGCTACAGCAGATAGAAAGCACATAAACATCTGGCCCTGGGAACTGAGTGTGGCTCTTGATGAAGAAGGGAGCTAACGTGTAGGAAAAAGAAGGGGTATCATCCAGGATGTCCAGTGACAGCCACCTTCTCTGGCAGTGCTAGGTCCAGAGAGGCCACTGCCAGAGCTGGTGGGAGGGTCCAGGAGTGACAACCTTCTAAACACTGAACACCAAGGGAGTGAGACTCATTACTGCTCTTAGAACCACTGTCTATTCCTTGGCTTTCTCGGGGTCCCACAGATGGCAGAGCAGGATCTCAACCCAGGCCACCTCACCCAGAAACACTGCCTGGCAGGGATCCAGCCACATGCCTCTTCTCACACCATCCCTGCCCACAGGGCTGTGCTCTGGAGGTGCTGCACACCTGTAACCCAGGCACTTCAGGAGGATCAGAAGTTCAAGCCTTTGCATGTGGGTTGTCTTAAGGTGAGGTCATTAGCATGGGCGCTTGTCAAGTCTGACCAGTGTCCTTACAAGAAAAGAAAATGAGGCAGAGACACACACTAGCAGACACTACATGCAGACGGGCTGGAATAATGAATGCCTCTCTAGCCACGCGGCCCCAGCGATGGCATAACTCCACAACACAACAGGACTTCAGAGGCAGCATGGCCCACAGACACTTCAACTTCAGACTTCCTTTGCCTCCAGAAACCTGAGAACATGCCTCTGGGGTTCCCCTCCTTTGTGGTGCCTTGTTGGGGCAGCCACAGGACTTGTGTTAAGGAGCACAGGCCTGGCTCACCTCCCTTGAAGAGAGTTCCCCCCCCCACTTCCTCTGCAGGTACCCCAGACTTCAGGCTGTGTCTTCTCATTTTGCTATCTCAAGAGCCTTGGTAAGTTCCAAGGTTCTCAGTCCAACTTGTGTTACTGAAACAGCACTGGAGATCTAGTTGTTGGTTCTTTATTGTGTGTGTGGAGGCCAGAGGACAACCAGTACTGTGGAGATAGACAGGAGGATATAACCACCCAACAAAGTATAACCAGTGATTTCCAGGTCAGAATGAAACCTGGTCTCAAGAAAAAGGTGGATGTGACTCACGAATGACACTCAGGGATGTCCTCTTAAGAGAGTCAGGGTGACTCGGGGACCGAAAACAGAGACTGGGATGTGGGGAGAGGCACCTCGAGCCAGGAAGTAAGTGAAGGTGCAGAAGCAGGCAAGGAACAGATGCCCTGGAGCCCCACCTCAGGGCAGGCTGGCACACAGATGCCCTGGAGCCCCACCTCAGGGCAGGCTGGCACACAGATGCCCTGGAGCCCCTCCACAGGGCAGGCTGGCACACAGATGCCCTGGAGCCCCACCTCAGGGCAGGCTGGCTCACAGATGCCCTGGAGCCCCACCTCAGGGCAGGCTGGCACACAGATGCCCTGGAGCCCCACCTCAGGGCAGGCTGGCACACAGATGCCCTGGAGCCCCACCTCAGGGCAGGCTGGCACACAGATGCCCTGGAGCCCCACCTCAGGGCAGGCTGGCACACAGCCTGACTCCAAATGAGTACTTACTAAGCAGGCCTCTGGCACCTAGAGCAAACCCAAGAACTGTCCACTCAGCTGACACAGCATGAACATGGCTTGCAAGGGTACTGGCATTTTGGTTTTATTAAATAAATGTTCTCACACAGGATGGAGCTGTACCCAGGGTTGCTTTTCCCTTCGTGACCTGGGGAGGCCTAGAGAGCCACAGGCTTCCAGACAGGGTGACTCCCACCCTTCTCTGGAACCAGGGACAAAACCTAGAGAGTCCCCTGATCAGAAACGAGTTGACTTACAAAGAGCTGCCTTCTGGGCCAATTTCTCTACCAGACACGGGGGATACAGTGCTTGGGCCCATTTTTTATTTTGAGACAAGGCCTCATTAAGTTGCCCAGGCTGGCCATGAAATGGCAGTCCTCCTGCCTCAGCCTCACACTTGACTGGAATTGCAGACCTTGCCGAGAAGCCCACCTACTGCTGTGGTTTTCAAATCAGACAAATGTGTGTCAAATCGGAGGGAAAACGTAACAAGGAGAGTAGAACAGACTGACTAGACTTGTCTTTAGACCAAGCTTGTCACCATTTTCTTTTCTCATCTCCTTTATGAAGGGGCCCGTTGAGACCAAAGTGCCTCAAACTCAGAAAGTCCTACTTTCTCCCATCTTAGGAATCCCAAGTCATGAGGAACCTTCTCAGGGGATCTGACATTAGCTACCCAAAGTGTCCATCCCAAGAGTTGGCTGAGCAGCCATACAGTTCCACTGCATCACCCTGGTGTCACTTAGAACAGTCAAGTAAGAAGTGCCACAGGAGAGGCAGGACACAGAGGCGGCTCTGATTACTCTGGAGACCTCCTGGAGGAGCATCGGTCCCAAGGGATAGAGTTCATTGGGAGGTGAGAAAAGGGAGGTGAAGAGCAGTGAGGACTGCGGTATCAGAAACATGGTGGCTGCAGCATCATGACCTGGAAGGAGTGGAAACATGAACCAGCTGACTGGAGTTGGAGTCTAGACCAGTCCTTGGTGTGGCAAGATCCCAGGAAACAGGTCAGTGTTGCCAAGCATCAGGGAAATGCAACATATATCACAAGGAGAAGCCATGTCACGCCCACTGTAATGGCTGTACCAAGTGCTGGCAATGCAGAGGCAACACTGGAACCCGGTCACTGCTGCTTGAAAAATGGTGGCCCTAATATAGGAAGCAATGGCAGTTCTACAACACATAAAATATAAAAATTACCATGGCAACCAGCAATCCTACTCTTGTGTGTTTACCTACAGAAAAGAAAAACAGGTCTTCAAACAAAGGTTTATGCAAAGAAACACTGCCCAGTTGCCAAAAGATGGAGTCCAAAAAGGGCTGAGTGGAGAAAAAAAATGTGGTATGTCCATACAACAGAATATTACTTGGCCCTCAAAAGGAACAAAGTGCTGATACATGCTACAACAAATGAATGTTGACAATGTGATGCTGAGCAAAAGTCAGATATGAAAGGCTGCACCATGTATCTGTGTATCTGTTCTGTGATATGTCCAGAAGACAGACATCTAAAGGGGCAGAAAATAGATCAGAGGCTGCTGGGGACCTTGGGGGGTGGGGCACTCACTGTGTGATGTGTCTGGGTCAGCCTCTGAGATAATAAAATGTTCTAGACAGTATGACAGTTGGCAACTTGCTGACTGTTTAATGTCACTAAACTGTACTTTGAAATGGTGAGTTTTGTGTATGTATTTTACCACTATTTTTAATGGACCAGAGGAGGGAGGCAAGAGTCTGAGTTTGGTCTAAGCACCAAGGATGCCCCTTTTCCTGTTCAATTGAGTCACCCTGAGCCCCCTCTCCTCCCCAGTCTCACCCAGGGACACAGTCTGTACCTTTCCAAAAAAACTCTCCTCAGATCCTGGGACCTCCTGCCCAGGGCTGCTCTGGCTTGGGCAGACTCATAGAGTGTGACCCAGTGAGGGGAGGGGGCTCAGGGTCACCCCAGTGAAGATGAAGAGGAGAGGGGGCTCAGGTTGACCCCAGTGAAGCAGGAAAGGGGCATCCTTGGTGCTTAGATGGAGCTTGGTTGTCGATTACTGTTCAGTGCCCACTTAGCCTTTCACAGTTTAGTGTCACAGTTTATGCATGGGTTATTGTCATCCAACTGTCAAGGCACTGACTACCACCCTCTTCTCCCAGCACTTCCCTCTAGGCAGGAACCAGCAGGATCCCCACCAAGTACAGCAGGAGCGCCACTCCTAATCACACCAACAGGGTCAGTGTCCAGGATGTGGGCCTGAGTCCTGTCTTCATCCGTTAACAGACTGACCTTGGGGCTACTCCTTAATGAGAATAGTAAGGCTAGTGGTCTGATGCTGCCACCAAGGGCAAGAAAAACAAGGCTCACGAAGGGCCCAGGCCGAGCAGGTCGATGGCACTTACAGTCTCGGTCCTCCATCCCTCAGGGAGGGGAAAGGAAAGGAGCCTTTTGCTGACTAATGCAGTACAGGGAAGGGAAAAAAAATCAGAGACTGAATCCTGAAACCTCCAAGTGTTTACAGAGCTAAATATTTTAGGTACTACACGGACGAGAACACAGACATATACCCCAAGGTGATTCAGCCTATGTTTTACCTGAGCCAGGATGAAGCCCTCACTCCATAGCTGGACCCAGAATCTGCAGGTTCCACAGCTGCAGACGTGGGTGGTCCCAGCTGCAGGTCATCAGGGTATTTAAACAAGTTTCTACGGTCTCTGTCACCACCATGAACGAAGACCCCCACACACACTCTCTACTGGATGTAGGAAAATTGCATCGCCGTTTATAAACAGTTAATAAGTGTGACTTAGAACCTGCCATGGGGATTATTAGAGAATGTGGAAAGCAGGCGCACAGGAAGCTCAAGGTCATTAAGGATTCGAGAAAAAGAAACAAACCACCCACAGCATCATTTGCAACAGCCTGCCAAGGGACACCTCCACCGCGGCATCGACTGCCAGCTTGGAGGACCATCCTTAAGTGGCCTCTCCTAAGATATCCTCCCGCTTTTCCCTGACCTTGAAAGGTGGTCATGTGCAAGGCTGGCCTTAGAACTTCTCAAGGCTAGAGGGGTGGTGGTACCAGAGAGGGGTGTGGCTCCATCACAAAACCCTTAACTGGAGGGTGTGTGTGACCTCAGGCAGCCCTCTTCATCCTGAAGCCACAAAGCATAAAGAGCCAAAGAGAATGCTGGCAGAGCCCTCCCTGAGCCTGCCTCACTGTGGAGCATCCATCTTCCAGGACATTAAGAAGCAGACCCAGCAGCCCATTACACACTGCCCGCACAAGTGGGAAAGCACAGGGTTTTGGTTTGGTTTGGTTTTAATGTTTAGGTTTAGTTCACTTGAGCAACATCCTAGTCTGCACTTACTCTCGGTGTAAAAACACCTCCGATTAATGAAATGGCTGCTCTCCCCGTTGACTCAAGCCTCACTGGAAGCCTAGGCTTTTGGCTGCCACAGCGGTGATTCATCCTGCTATCCCTGTGTAGCAACCTTACAAAGCCCCTCCTTCCCCCCACCACCAGCTGTTACCTAGCAACCAACCTAGCAACCTTGCAGCTAAGAGATTAATCCTCCAGTGATAACCACAATGTAATATCCAAAAAGACACTTGCTTTCAAGGGTGCGCTCCGAAGTTAAGAGAGATGGGCACACCTTAACAATACAGATAAAGAACAAAGAGGCTCATGGGTGCACAAAACTCATCTGTTGTGGTAGGATCTCCTTCCCCGGATTTATACACATGTAGAGGAAAAGAACCGAATCACCATCAGAACAGTGTACTGTTCCTGCCACCACTGTGACTAATCCCTGGTGGGAGGGTCAGGGGGTGGGTCCCTGATTCCAGACATCCTGTTCTTTCCCCTAAACCCCCATGTTCAGAAACGACCCCAAACCTTTAACCAGCTGATGCTCTGCACAACAGCCACATTGTATGTGTGCACTCACGGACGCAGAAACTGTCATTAAATCTTAGAGGCCAAGAGAACTTTCCAGAAGGGTAGACACTCTCAGCATTTCCAAAGGGCTCGAGCCCTTCAAATGTCTCTGCTGTTGTGCCAGACCGTGCACCAAGAAGAAAAGCGTAGAACCTCAGGAGACATCGATCCAACTGCAGAGCTGGCTAAAATGCCTGTCACCTGGGTGGAACCCTGTGGAACTAACATTTTCTGGTTCTGAAGCAGCTCAGAGCTGACAAATGCAAGGGACACCCTTAGAACATGGGTCATCCCTCTGAGTCCGCCTCAGTGCCCCAGGAGGCTGCTCTCCTAGCGATCCTACCCTGCTTCTGCCATTTCCTGACTGAGGCCTCTAGCTGGTCATCTGCTGACCCTATGACAACTGTCAAGTGAGCACATACTCAGCCCTGACCCAGTAAGAAGGCTAGTTCAGGAGAGCGGCCTGCTGTTAAGGAGCCCACAGGGACACCCTGTGGAAACTGTGCCAAGCCCCCTCCACAGGAGTCCACCAGAATGATGGATGAGTCACTCATTTACTTAGCCCGTTCTTACTGAGTGCAGTAAGCGCCAGAGCGATGGTATCGAGGACTCCGGCAGTGCTGCCATGGCTGCTCCTAAATGCTGTCTGCGCACAAGCCCTACACCTTCATTTTTAGCCAATATTCATGTCTCAGGGGGCTCCTGTGGCCTGGTTTCCTTTTCAAAGACACGAGCCAGGTCAAGGGGCCTTTGCTTCCTGAGACCACTCTTCAGTACCTGCTTGGGATAGCAGAGATCACAGGGCCCATGCCCAGAGAGAGGTGTAGGCTAGCCCAGCTTCTTAAAAGGGGACAGCTAGGGGGTGGGGCTAGACGGACACAGAAGCAAGACTTAAGAGGAAAAAAAGACACTGTCAGGGGTATCATCTGGCTCGGCTGCTGGAGTAGGAAAGGGACCTGGGTTCTGTGGGGTACAAGGCAGCAGTGGTAGTTCTGGAACAGGGTTTGAGTCAACAGAGAAAAGGGGTGTGGGGAGACATCTGTTGTAAAACTGTGGCCTCTAACGCCACAACCCAAGAGCAGGCTTCCTGAGCCCAAGCTCTGTTTCAGTCTCCCCAACTAACACGGAGAGAACTATGATAGCATCCTACTTCCTGAAGCGTATGTGGACTCAAGATACAAAGCTTGCTTCTGGAAGTACCACCTCCTGGTAGAGGGCAACAGGAACTTGGGGTAAGTGCATCTCTGGGATCCTCAGTAGGGAAGGAGAGAGGGGGATAGATTCCTGCCTGGGGCTGGAGCTCAGGTCATGGGCGTTCAGGTACTGGTTTTAGAATGAGAGATGAGGGGAGTCCTAGCCATCCTGAGGGTAAGTCCTAAAGGAGGCACAGAAGCTAGGCTTAGGGAAACCCTGACAGCTGTGTGTGAGACCAGGCAATACTGCAGTGTAGAGCAAGCCCCTAGTGGGCCCCCACTGTGTCCAATACCTTCCCAGACACCCAGAGACAGCAAGAGAGGTGAAGCAAGCCTCCTGGCACCCGCAGCCTGCCCACTGGGAGCGTAGAGATTGTCTGAGGTCTTCCTGGGTCTTCTGAGCCCCACGGTTCTGGGCAACAGAAACCAGGTAACCGCACAGAGGCCCAGCCATGACGGCCTAGGGCCCTGGGGCCAAATGTGCGTCACCTGTGCCTTAGGCAAGGGATCTAGGGACCTGCCTCAGGTGAGCATGTGAGAAAAACACAAACCAAGAACACCAGAGGGGACAGAGCCTGACACACAGACACATTCAACAGATGGAGAAGATATTTGGGTACCACACTACTCACTGACCTAAGCTGGTGATGGGGACAAACATCCAATCAGACATGAGAAACCAGGGCATGCTCAGGCAAGATGACATTCAGACAGTGTTGCTCTGACATTCACGTCTGATCCTGCACCTGATCTCAAGTGCCCATGATGCTGATGGGCCAAGAATGGCAACAGAGGACAACCATGCTGATCCCAGAGTGGAACAGAGATGCTGACCTCACGTTAATCCGTCTTAATACTGGCCACGAACCTCAATCATGTTAACAGTCAACCCCTGAGCCAGGAAAAGCAGCTCGGCATGCCTGACACCCTTCCATACCCACAGAAATGCAGACACAGACTTCTGTACCTTTTCACTGCAGACCCCTATTTGGAAAGCAGTACCTGTTACTAGCAAGGAGGAAGGAGGCTGGGAGGTTCAAATGAGCTACTACAAGCATACACCAGGGGCACAGAGGATAGTGACATCCATGGAACCCACTGTACCAGGCAGACTTGGACAGCAGTGAGAAGCAACAGGAAGCAGAAGAGATTTGTACTCAATACTCCATGAAGACACTCTGCTCTTCTGGATTCCCTTGCAGCTATGAACTGGGGTTGGTTCCCAAGTCCATCTTCTGTAGTTCCCACTATCACCCAAGAATTAAGCAGGAGATAATACAGATGCTCTGCAATGTGCTGAGAGTGGGTGAGTATGTGCCCCCACACCCATGAATAGATTGCTCATATATCTCTGTGAAAATGATCATCCATACATACAGGGCCACTATTCAAGGTCTGAGGATGTCTTCCAACTAACCCCATTTGAATCTGGGCGATGGTCACCATTTTATTTTCTCCTACATCTTTCCTAAAGAGTGAGGTTTCAAGAATACCAACATCCCAGCTTACCCCTGAGCAGATACCACTTTAGAGGACACACACCCTTGCTGTGAGGAAGGCTCCTCCCACCAGGGCTCACTGGAATTTCACCCTTTTCCGAAGCCATCACCAGAGGTAACAGGAAGTAAAGAAGGATTGGAAGTTGAACACATGGGCTTTGCATCCAAACTCTGGTCACAGCTCCACCAAGAGAGCTGGGACCAATGAGTCTGCAGTCCCCTCTCTACCCTCATGAGATGGGATGTAGGAGAGGAGTACCCTGTTCAGGCATCAGCCCTTAGAGGAGCTTGCATAGGCACTGAGGGTCAAGGGGCATGACACAAAGCTCTGCCTGGATGGGTATAGTACCTCAGGCCTTCTGCTTCCTTCCTGAAACTGTGAGGCGAATCTTTTGATGTTTGGCAAATGTTTGCTCACATTTATTGCCTTTGCCTAAAGGGAAGTTCATGGGTGGTTTTTCCCTGTTATAAAAATAAATGATATATGATTATTTTGGAGGATGAAGCAAAGAAAAAGGAAAATTCTTTAAAAAAAAAAAAAGGAAGGAGGGAAGGAAGGAAAAAAAAAAAACCTACCCAGAGAGCCTCCAGGTTGGGAGCTAGAAGCAGTTGGGCTTTCACGGCCTGGATAAGTGGAATCGCATCTGTTCCTGTCCCTCTAAAAAGACCTCTCCGCAGCCTGGCAGATGCCTCCTGACCTAAAGACGGCAGCTCAGCCTGCGACCACTCACCTTAAACCTCTCGGTGACACCCTCGGTGATGCTGACGGTGAACTCCGCTATCTTGGGAGGACGCGCTTTCCCTTTCTTGCGGTCAGGTTCATACTCAGTTTTAGTTTTCACAACAACCTTAGCCAGGAAACAGAGAGGCACATGGTTAGTGATGAGCCTGATGTGCTCAGACACATCTGCCCTAGGCAGGTGAACCTGGGACTGTCAAGTTCAAAGCCGGGCGGTGGTGGCCCACGCCTTTAATCCCAGCACTCGGGAGGCAGAGCCAGGCGGATCTCTGTGAGTTCGAGGCCAGCCTGGTCTACAGAGTAAAGTTCCAGGAAAGGCGCAAAGCTACACAGAGAAACCCTATCTCAAAAAAACAAAATGAAACAAGACAAACAAACAAACAAAAAAAAAACAAGTTCAAAGATACCCACCATTCCTCCAGGCAGTGAGAGCAGCTTCCACTGAGAACTCTCCATGCAGGCCCTTTCAGATACATTGCCTATCCATGGTCCTAGAGCAATCCCAGGACAAATGCAGAACCGGGGAACAGAGAAGTGATGTTCACCGGCCAAGGCCATGGGACTAATGGCTGGCAGACCACTCGGATACCCATTACAGCAGAACCCTGGTCCAGAGAGTGGGGAGGACACCTCTTCTTTCCTACTGGCTTTTCTGTGCTGCCCACCTGCTGGACATATGTGTTACTGGAGAAGACCTGAACACAACTGAGTAGCACCTAAGAGCTAGGGCCTGGGAATAAACTGCCCTGGGAAGCCTCTTAGACTGCACAGCGCTGAAGGGTCCCCCCCCCCACCATGTGAACCTGGAAACATCTGCCCTGTACAAACTTCCCTGAAGCCCTGCCAACTTCACACCTACCTGGGACCCCATGCTGCACCCTATAGGGACATTCCTCTCTTGGCCTCCCCAGCTCTGCTTCTGTCAGGGCTCCATTGCCTCTCTGATTCCCTTGAATAGGGAGAGTGAGGTCAAGGAGTTACTCACCTCTGATCCCCAAACTCTCCCCAGAGCAGGTGTCCAGTAGTGGCTATGGGACAGGAGAGAACCCCCTCCCCATACACTTCTCCTGGAGGGAGTATGTCCTTTGTTGTTTCCATGGTTTGGAAGACACCCACTTGCCCTGACAGTGGGACTGAGTGACTCTGGACAGGCCCCAGGCAAATGACTAGAGAATTCTCCATTCCAGCCCTGACCTGTGGAGCCAGCCTCCAGAGGTTATAGGGGAGAAAGGGGCCAATGCCTGGCATTGAGCCAGAGAGCCCTGAGCTTCAGTGTGTGCTGTCAGGCTTCACTCCTGGCATGCCATTCTCCTGCAGTAGATAGAGGGGTATGCACCCCTGAAGGCATCACCTTCCCAAGGCAGCACTGAGCACCGCCCTGCCATCCTCACATCCCAGCTGCACCCATGTAGCCTTGTGACCTTGAGCATACATTTGGGGCCACTTCCCCTGACCATGAATACGGAAGGCTTCTTTGTGTCTTATCCATAACCTGGAGGGCAGAAGGCCTGTATCATCCAGAACTGTGAGGGTGAGGACATCTAGGCCACCTGAATTCAATCTGCATCTACCACTAACTGACAGGTGACCTTGGACAGGTCCTTTAAAACTCTGTAGGCCTTCTTTGCTAGGTCTCGTCAGATGAGGGCAATGGTGGAGGTTGCCTTGCAGCAATGTGGGCATGTTGAAGTTCAGCCTAGGAAGTGTACGGAACAGTGCCAGGTACGGCAAGTGTTCCTAAGGAATGTCAGGCAAGGCTGCTCCTGATGTGACTGGCAGCCCTCGGCACTAGTGCATTTTCTGGCACTCAGAAGTCACATCCCCCACCTCCCTGAATCTTGTCAAGTGTGAGAGGTGTCCAACTAGAAGCAGAGTGGAATAAGTAACAAGGCTAGAAACTTCCCTACCCCAGAGGCCAGTGACCTTCAGCACAATGACCTTGGGTGCATTTGGTGAACTCTGAGAATCTGTCTTCTTCGATGTGACTTTGGAAGCCTTCTAACTCAAGGACCTGTTCCCACAGGAATACCCTTTTTCTGGAGCATCCTCATCAGTTACCCCAAGAGTAGAGTGACTCAGTACCTTACAGAGCCACCTAGCCTAACCCTGAGCAACAGGACTGGTTGGCAGAATGTGGGACCTGCCTGAAGCCCTCCTCCTTGTGGCCGACCATGCCAGGCAATACTGGAATGGAACATATTAAGGGCAAAAGAAGAGGCTTGGGCCAAGTAGAGGTAATCACCTGATAGAGGTGCCGCTTCAGGACACATAGCTCCTTGGCTGGGTGTATCAAGGCAGGAGGGGTAGGGGTACTCGGGACCGAGTCCTGACACCCACCATGGGCCAAAGACTCAACAGCCCTGCTCATCCTATGAAGGCCAGCCTGGGCCAACAGCTGTGGTGTGGGGTGCACAGCTATGACCAGCTGATCTCCCCTTCTTAAATGAAAACACCTGCAACCAGTCCCTTCCCTGCTCCCATGTCACACACACACACACACACACACCCCAAAAAAAACAGACAATAGAATTAAGGGAACAAAACCACTTTGGGAAGCTAAGTTTGGGGATGAAAGAAGACCCACTGCAGATCCTTCCTACAACCCATTCTACTACTGCCCAGTGAATGCAGAGCTGGGAGTCAGAGCCTCTTTCTCAGAACGAACTAAGACAATAAATGTAAAAGCATGTGGGAATAGTGAGCAAGCTCCTTTGTGTGTAGGGACTGTAGATGCAGGGCGTGTGGTTTTACATTAGAGTGTTGCAATGCTACCTTCTACTTTAAGGATAGAATTTGCTTTTAAATGTTATGGCTTGAAAATATATTTATGGACCAATGATACCCCACTGGATGTAGTACTCAAGAGGGGAGTCTTTAAGTCAAAAAAAAAAAAAAATGCATCACGGTAAAGATGGTCCTGGTTCCACTAGTACTGGTGAGCCGGAGCTCAGATCTGGGGATTTCACAAAAGGAACAAAGAAAGAGGCTCTATTCCTGAGCACACACACAGTAAGGCAATTGGAGCTGAACCCGTACCACCTCAAAAGGCACAAGGACCTGCTCCCTGGGCTCACCCCAGACTCCTGTACCAACAAGCATCGCTCCTCATAAGACTCCCCCAAAATCAAGAGGGGACCTTCCACTAAGGAATCTTGCCAAGACGAAGGTGTCATCTAAGGCAGGGGGTCTCCAGCATCACCCAGCCCAGAATCGCGAGAGTACATTGTGCTTGCCCTGTCTTCCTCCTCTAGGCTGAGCCCGCCCCCATCTCTCACCCCCAACGCACAAGGCGTTTCTTTTGTTTCGGTTGCAGTCGAAGATTTAGGGGTGCACACCCAGCAGCGCGGGAATGTCGGGAGCTCATACCTTATCCGGGGGTGGGAACTGCAGCTGGTTGACATCGAGGGGCGTCATCAGGGGAATGGTGTCGAAGCCATCCTCCAGCAGTGGCTGCTTGGTGCCCTTCTCTGCGAAATTGTTGCCCAACTTCACCATGGTTGCGAAAGACAGGAGGCTGCGGCCTGAGGAGGGAGGGCCGGGTGGGGGTCAGGGCGAGCGGCAGCAGGGGCGGGGCGGGGCACAGACAGGAGGACTCCGCACACCCACCCGCTGTCCCTGCGTCCGCTGTCCCTGCGTCCGCTGTCCCCGCCGCCTGGTCTCCCGAGAGAGGTGGCAGGGACGCGGCGGTCGCAGCCGATCAGGGTCTCCAGGCTGTGTACTGATGGGCATTTCTAGACTCCCATCCCGCAGAGGGCAGGGCTCAGCACAGCCAGGCTAGGGGACGCCACCCGTGCCCAGCCTTTCCGGATGCGTCCCCAGTCCCGCGGCGCTGGCTTCCTGCGCGTCTCCCGAGGAGGCCCTCAACGTGAGAGATGCTCGGCCGCCCGCCCCGCTCCCCACCCGCACTCACCCCACGCCCGGCTCCGGCAAGTCTGGGCTCCGAGCGCGCTCCGAGGCTCCGCGTCGCCCGCTCTCGCGTGCAGCAATGGCGGAGGCGGCGCCGCGGCCGGGGGATCAGCGATTGGGTTCTGCGCCTCCCGCCTCCGCGCGCCGCCTCCTTCCTGCCGCTCCCGGGGGCCGCGCGCGGGAGTGCGCGTGGGGCCGTGCCGATGCGCCTCCGCCTTGACGCAGCGCCGCCCGCGCGCTGATCGGCCGCACAAAGGAGCACGCGGCTGCGGTGGCGGTGGCGGGGGGGGGTCCCCCGGGGACCCCGCGCGCGACCAGACCCGGGGAAGGAGAACCTGAGGCTCCCGATGCCGGCCTGGGGGATACCCTGGCGGGCTGCGCAACCCTGGGGCGGTGGTCGAGCTCGGGGCTGTCGGGAGGGAGGAAGGGAAGGGAGGGGGAAGATGCTGAGAAGCCAGCGAGCCCCAAAGGGAGGGAAAGAGGTTCCGGCCCACCACCGAGCAGATTTGAGGGTCCTGAAGGATGACGAAGGTTTTCGGAGGACAGTGTGGATGACAGACCTAGGTGGCTCTTAGTGTGAGGCTGGGTGGGAGAGGGATGAAAAATGAGGGCGTGTCTCTATAAAAAAGAGGGAGGTTTCGGGATGTGAGGTAGTGCTGTCCTGTGGCTAGGGATGCCTGCCTGGGATGTGACGACAGGAGGACAGGTGTTCAGAGCTTAAGGTGCCACCAGGAGAGGCAGGCTAGCCAAAGCTGTCTGCGGTCAGGGCGGAAAGGAAGGCAAGGATCTCCCCACCGCAGCCGCAGCTCTCCTGGATAATACAGAGACCCAGAAGGAAGAACCGGGTTCTAGCCTGACCGGTGCCCCAGGCAGCTGTCGCAGCTACCCAGATGAAGGCCACTGCACGTTACAGATCTCTACCCAGCCTTGCTTGCAGGACGCAGGGAAAGAAACTAAACTTGGATATGGGAGCGAATCTCCAAAAGGAGTAGGGCTGCGGGTACCGGAGGAGCAGTACCCCACTACCCGCTACCACTGTTCTGTTGCCCTGAGAACTTAACTGTCCCCATGGTTGTTACCTGGGGTCTAAACATCCCCCAGAGGACCCTAAGGAATAACAGAAACCTATAGGTCAGGAACAGCCAGGTTCCAAACTCCGGGAGGGCCCCTTCGTTAAAGCGGGAATGGGAGTAGGGGTGCTGCCAGGGCTTCCCTGCCCGGGCTTCGGGTAAGGTTCAGGCTGCCTTTGAGTCAAAGCAGATCAGCCTGGCCAGAGCCCAGAGTTCCTTCTAAGGCGCCTTGCCGGGCAGAGGGAAGGGCCTTCAAGGTACCTATATGACATCAGGTTGCCCTCTTGGCAGCAGAGAATGGAGTTAGAAACCACCCAGGCACCAGCCTGCAGACATCAGGGGACCTGCCAGTCAGGCTGCCTGGTTTGTGCAAGAGAGAGGCTTTATCACCATCTCAGCTGTTTTCAGATCCCAGCACTAGCCTACTCGCTCTGGAGTCAGAATACATGCAAGGAACAATAAGGTTGGTCCGCCCTCTTCCTCCAAGACTATGGAGGCTATCGCAGAGACAGCTACAGTCATGCTGTGGCTTGCTGGCCTGGGCATTGCTCTTTCCTTCTGTGTGGTTTCCTTTGCTTATATCTGGACCCCATGAAGGGCACAGGAAATGCAAAGTGCATAAGACACACTGCCCCACTCCCTGGACAAAGCATCAGCTCCCACCAGGGCAATGACAGAATCAGAACAGGGCACATGCTCAGGGGAGGAACTAAGTCCAGGTAGGAAAGAGTGCAGAGGCAGCATATTCGCTTCCTGTGGCTCCTGGAACACATGACCCACAAACTAGCAACTCTTAAAAAATCAGAAAGGTGTTCACAGCTCTGGAGGTCGAAAGTACACAGTTAAGGTGTGGGCAGGGCCCCGCTCCCTCTGGAGGCTCCAGGGGAGAACCTCTTCCTCTTCTGGCTTTGGTGGCCCAGGCAGTCCTTGACTTGTGGCCACATCAACTCTCCCCTGTCTTCACATAATCCACATAGGCTTGTGTGTCTCACCTCATCATTGAGTTGGGACCTGCTCACCCAGTGTCTTAACTGAATCATATCCATTGTTGTAAGTCAGTGTGGGTGGTAGTCATTGAGCCACATAAAGTCAGGCTCACAGATCCCCAGGGTCAGGACATGGGCAGATCTTTAGAGAGCCACCATTCAACTCACAGACGTCAAGGGCACAGTGCTTTGGGGGCCCAAGGAATTTGAAGAGGAGACGAAGATGGCTCTGGGGAAGTCAGGAGCTTAGCCAGGGAGGGATTATGTTGAAGAGGCCAGGGTCAGAAATGCCACATTGTGGGACCACCCAATTAAGTGACCTCAACTCCATTCTAGCACCCACAATCTAATACCCAGAGCCACAAAGGATTGTTGAGAGAATGTGTGATTTATCCAGATGAGTCTTGGAAGTATACCTCAGCATCCCTGACTCCACCTGTCACTACTGAGACAAAGCCACCCCAACCCTAACATTCAGATGCTGTTCCTCAACCTGCCATCCCAAGCCAAGGTTTTCTGTGGCTTCCCCTGCTTTATTGGTTGAATTCCAGACTGTCACAGTGACACCATATTTATGAGTTGGTTTTCTGTTACTGTGATGAACCCTAGAGGCTGAGTACTCTATAAAGAAAAGTTTGCCGGGTGGTGGTGATGCATGCCTTTAATCCCAGCACTCGGGAGGCAGAGGCAGACAGATCTATGTGAGTTCGAGGCCAGCCTGGTCTACAGAGCGAGTTCCAGGACAGGCTCCAAAGCTACACAGAGAAACCCTGTCTCGAAAACCACAAAACAAAACAAAAAGTGCATTTAGCTCACAGTTCTGAGGTTCAAAGGCGTAAGTCCACATAGGCTTAGTTAGCCCTGTTGAGGTGGTCCAGGTGATTGCCAACTTGACAGGACCTAGAATCACTTAGAAGACAAGCCTCTGGGCAAGTATGTGGGGGAGTCTCTAGGTTGTGTTCATTGAGATGGAAAGATCCACCCTGAATGTTCAAGCCATGTGACCAGATGCACCTAGCAAAAGCAATTTAAAGAGGAAGGATTTCTCCTGGCTCACACTGTAAGTGCGCAGTCCACCACGGTGGGGAAGGAAAGGCGTGGTGGTTGCAGTGCAGTGCAGCTGGTCACATTGCATCTGCAGTCAGAAAGCAGAGAGGTGCATGCTGCTGCTCTGCTGAATTCTCCTTTCTGTTCAGTCTGGGACCCGAGCCATGGGATGGTGCTCGCACGTTCGGGGTGTGGCCTTTGGGGACAAACCACACCCAGGCCACAGAACTATGGCCTGGTTTTAATCATGACTGTCTCTTAGGATGTTGGGCAAGTGGACTAACCTCTCGGTGCCTCAGTTTCCCCATCTATACGATAGAAGTTGTGATAAACCTCCATAGTGGTATTCTGAGACTCAGAACTTTCACTACCTAGTTCCTGTCGTTTCTGTTATTGGTGCTTGGGCTTCTAATTCTGAACCCTTGGCATTGCTGGTTTTAGTCGCCCCTGCTGGACAAGCATGATGAGGGATACTTTTTATGGTTGTATTGTTAGCCCCCTGGCTGGCTAAGGGAATTCATCCTTGGGAGTACTGTGTGCATCTTTGCAACTCAGAGAAGCCCAGTTCCTGGCTGCACAGCTCCTCACAAGCCTGGGATGGGCTTCAGGGTCTAGACAACCTCTAGAAGTCTGTACCCTCTCATCTGATCCCAGGACAGGCTCCATAGGAACTTTTGGTTTCCTTCCACTGCATGGTCACATCAAACCAGAGATCCTTCATCCATTTTTTTTAAGGATGATATTAACAGTTACCTGGTGCTCCCCTTCCTCAGTTCCTGGTACATCCTACATCCTACTCTACTTGATATGGTTTCTTGGTACACACTGTCACTGCACACACCTTCACTAGTGACGTTTTCCATCCCACCTGTCAACTGTCAGTCAGCACACAGATTCGGTTTAGGGAGATGGGTTTTGGTGAGTGTGAGGAATCAGGTATGCTCCAGCTACATCCCCAGCCCACATCTTTTTCCCAGATGCTGCCTCCTCCACCCAGAATGTCTCCTCACCTCCTTGTCCTGATGGTTAGACCTTCCCTTTCAAAGCCCTCACCCAACATAGCCTCCTCTTTATAACTGGCCTCACTCTCTACATTCTTCTATCATTTTTTTCAATGTGCCTTGTATCTAAAATGGGTATTGTGCTCCAGCAACCCCACCCCCACACCAAGCAGGCTCCACCTCTTAAAGGTCCCAATACCTCATAATATCACACTGGGGACCAAGTCCCAACACCTGAAATATGCTCTGAGTGGTCCATCCAGTGGGCATCCACTTACCGTACACTCTGTCCCTATACACTCAGAAAGTGTGAAAACCACATTCCAAGTCACAGTGAGGAAATTCAAGTCCAGTTTATGCTGGAGGCAGGGTTGCCCGTGACACCATTGTGACATTCCGTCTCCTAGGTTTGTCCTTACTTCAAAACACTCATTCATGGAAAACTCCAAGCATCACCAAAGCGCATAATGTGTACACAAAAATGTGAGCACAATTTGCAGTGATCCCTAACATTTTATTTGCCCCCATGCTCCCTAGCGCTTAGCCACACAAAGCAGCCAGAAATGGTCAGGAAACAAAGGGGCTGTCTCTGTTTCTTAGCTTATGTTCATAGGAACAGAGTAAACATTATTATGGGGCCCAGAGGCATACAGACTGGCCTATATACATGTGTTTGGTGTTGGGTTGGGATGAGGTCATTTTAAAGACTTATTAACATCCCAGTGATTGCTAATTTTCCCAAATTACTTTTAAGACCCATTTCCCTCTGAGCTGTGAGCCCCTTGGCCTTCTGGGAAAGGCTGTGGTGAGGGTCCTCTCTGGACCTCAGCTTCCTCTTCTATGAATGGGCAGGAATGGTCACAAAGCTCAGTATCTGATGCACAGTATGAGAAGACTTGTCAAGTGCTCTCCCTTGGTGCCCCAGTTTGGGATTTCAAATCCAAGCTCTTTAGTTTTGTACCAACTCTAACTTGAGTTAGCAGGATAGACAGAGGTAGCCGAGTTGGAATAGATAGAGATGAGCATGCTTCTCAGGGGAACTGACTGGGTGGGTATGGAT